ATTGCTATTTTTCCAGCCCCTACAAGTGTGTGATACGTGAGAGCCACTCACAATAACTTTGTTGAGTCGAAGAGCAAATGAGTGACAGATGACTGGATTTTGTCCTTACTCGGACTTGAGGTGCAGAGCCACATGAAAGGTCAAAAATGAAGCTGCTCTGTGAATGCCTGGAAAATACCAGGGTGTACAACTCCAGGAAATTTAGAGACCCGGAGGGGACGTTTGAAGGCAGTGTGAGTTTAGATTGGGACATTCTGAGTCCGAGCGACTTGAGGGACATCCCGTGATCCCATCTCTGTTGGTCCAATGTCAGCAGGATTTTGGATATGAGGGTCAAGGGCTTTGGGGGAGGTTGGGGTAGGGGTGATCTGGTCATTGCCTACATGGAGGTGATGGCTTTAAATGATAAGAGAAGAGGGGAGAAGGGGAGGGAATCAAGAACAAATTATTGGGGAACATCTACATTTAGGGGAGAAGAACTAGTAGGAATAGTGTGAGAGGGAGGACATAACCAGGAGGGAGAAATGTCATGGAAATGAAAGACAGAGTTTCAAGAAAGAAATGGCCAATTGAACCCTGCACAGTGAGGGGCTGGGTGAAGACAGACAGAGTTCTGATATGTGAGTGACTGCTCAGAGACTGGCTCTCCTACTGCTCAGATTCCCCAGGGGGCCGCGAGTGTCAGGCAGGTGTGCGATGGGAAGTCTCGGGCATTTTGCAAATAGCGGAGTGATGCGATCAGAGCTTTGCTGGGGGCAGGCGCACGAGAGTGTCAGATGACTGGGAAGGGGAGACAAGGAAAGTGGATGTAGGACGATGTTGCAGCTGTGCAGCCCGGGGAGTTCTGGAAGCTAACTTAGCGGCTGGTGGCTCCAATATGCAACTGGTAGAGCAAGAGGGTGACTGGTCCAAGGTCATGGGTCCCTGAGGTTCCTGGGCCCCCAAGACAGATATGACCATTGCTCTTTTCATGTCATCCGCAATAGGTATTTCCCAATGCTGTGCCTCTCCAGTTCCCGCTGCTAATATTTGTCTTCTATTGATCTAGTCTCCAGCCTGTTACTTTTTAACTGGATTCGAGGTTCAAAGGCCTGTTTTGTTTAAACGCTCATTACAGTGAAGAGGGCATGTCCCCCTGATAATCTCAATGATGAACCAGCAAGGATCTTCTGAGTAAACAGGGACTGCAGAGAAGGCATGGGGGTGGGGTGTTGAAGTCCAGGGAGTGGGTTTAGGACTGGAGGGGGGCGGCGACAGGGAGTGAGAAGACCCCTCAGGCAGAAGAGGTCTTAGAATTTCTAAGAAAGCTAAATAACTAGAAATCAGAAGACAAAACCCAAGCTTTCTGTCACAAGTAATATTAAATATAATATCTAAAATCCTTTGAGAGTACAACAGCATGCATCGAACAGTTCTGGGAGAGAGAATCCGCCTTGGCCCATGGTCCTTGTGGCCGTTCTACTCTGTTCGACCCCGATGCAATGCAGTGAGTGTGCTCAGCCCAGGAAGGAAGTGGAGACGGGAGGCCCCGCTTGTAGGGGTGGAAAGCCTGTCCAGCAGCAGAGGTGGGCTGGCCCTGGTGAGGCCCTGGGCTGGGGCTGGCCCTGAGAACAGGCTGTCTTTTCACCTGGGTGGGGGGTGGTCCTTTATGCACAGGGGATCTGTGGCCCGAAGCAGGCCCCCGGCTCTCAAAACCCCTTCCTTTCCCAGTGTGCTGGTCCCTAAATACCATAATTTCCAACTTTATCTCGTTTGACTTAAGCTAAGCTTCACTTTTGGAGTTTGATAAAATAAAAGTACTTCTGGAAGGGGTCATGTGTTTAGTCTTATCAGTCACTGCCATCTCAGTGGGAGTGACTGCATGGGCTCTTCCCACAAAGGGGGTTTGGTGGAGGGACAGTGGGTGGGCAGGGGAGTGCGGTGGCTGAACGGTGGCTCCGAGCCAGAGGCCCTTTGTTCATATCCCCACTCCTCAGGTGATCTGCCTGCAGGCTTGTCCAGGCACCTGGGACCACTCCTCCAGCTCCAAACCCCACAGCGTGCTATCGAGGGGACCCAGCACCGATGAGCCCTGCATGTGCTGGGGGGAGCCCCAATTCCCAGGAATCACCTCTTCACACCAGCATTTTTTGGAGCCCTTACTCTGGCACAAGGGCTTCTCCTGGGTGTTGAGGAGGACAAGGGAAAGCCAGAGGGATTGGTGGGCTCCCGCCCACCCAGGAAGAGACCAAATTTCCTGCAGGTGGGGCCAGGAGGTATCTGCCCCCTGGGTCCATGTAAACTCTCTAAATTGTACTGGTGTTGAGTCTGCCCCCAGGTCTTCAAGGGGCTGAGAGGCTGCCTGGGGCCATAGAGCCCGGGGGCAACCAGTACCCACAACCCCCTGCCCTGGCTCCCGACACAGGGCCCACCTGCACCCTGCCCCACCTGGAGGCCGTGACCACTGGGCTGTCTCCCTCCAAGCCACGGTTTAGGAAATGAGACCAGATGATGGCTTGCAGGGTTTTCTGCTTGAAGTGGAGGCAGAAAGGTCTGACCCTGCTGGTCCTGTCCCTGGGCCTGTCTCTGGGGTTGGTATTGAGGCTGAGGGTGTGCGTCGCTGTCCCAAGCTGGGCTGCTGGTGTCCCTCCTTTCTCTCCTGGCTCCATGATGAGCAGCCCCTCTTTCAAAGCCTAACCACTGGAGGGAGAAGGTGGGGTGAGGTCAGGGTCTCAGAGGGCAGCGAGGAGCTGACTCCCCTTCCTTCCCTGTGGGCCTCCAGTTCCCAGGAATGGGATGCACCCGTGGTCATTGCCATTCTCTTCAGGGGAGGGGCAGCTTGCCTGTGAAGTCACCTAAGGTAAGGTGAGGACAAATCCTGGTCTTCCAGGCCAACAGTGCCGAGTGATGAAGGGCAAGGACCCAGATTCTCAGGGCTGCTGCCCTTTTCGGTCCAACGTTCTCCGCAGCGGATCAAGCCTGGTGAGCCCTGGGCAGCCCGGGGCGTACGGCAGAGCACATCCTTGCGGGGAGCCTCTTGTCATTCCACCGGAACTGTGCCAGGCGGGATGGAGAACTGTAGTTCCTAATTCCGCCCCATGTACATACAACTCCTGTGGCAGGGGACTGTTGAGACACTGCCCACCTGTGCAACTTTCCTTCAATCTCAGCAGGAGGTGCCTCCCTGCCTGCTCCTTTGGGTGGGGTGCTCATGGCAGTGCCTGCCACCCCTTCCAAGCTAACATGTCTGCAAGCTAGCCCTTCCCTCATGGGGAAAGCGCCTCTCCCCAAGCACTGGGGCGCAGTGAGGTGAGCAGCAAGCTTTGGGAGAAAGCCTGGGTCCTCCCCCTTCCACCACCTGGGCCCCGAGCTCCTCTCTCTGTGGCTCAGACCCTGTACAACAGGCTGCAGACCTGCCAATGGCCTGTGACCCCTGGAAGCTCAAAGGCCCCCCTGAAGGGGCAAGTGTGTGTGGGCCTGGCCGCCACTGGAGTTGGACTAGGCAGCTCAGACTTCACAGTAAAGTCCTGCAGGTGAACACAGAGGGCATGTGGCCCTCTGGGATTCTGCCAGCGAGTGGGCCTGGGCGAGCTGAGACACAAGGACAGCCTCTGACTGTCCCCTGGAGCACTGACTGGCCTTGTCCCCAGAAGGCCCAGCCGAGGTGAAGTGGCTCTCTGCCTACAGGCAGAGGCAGGTGCTCCTCAGCTCTAGTGCCAAGTTTATCCTGTCACGTGGGACTAGCAGCCAGGACCAACCTGGGGGAGGGGATGGGGGACTGCAAAGGGGCTGGGCAGGGAGGGGCAGACCGACTGGGGCTAATTTACCTTTCTCCCAGTCTAGTCTGAGGTCAGCCCTACAAAGGAAGGGGGTCTTTGATCTCACCCTCCTGAGCTGCCTCCAGGCTGTGACAGTCATACTACCTGTGTTTGGAGTCTGTAGTGGGTCTTAAGTAAACTCCCAGCTCATGTGCTTTCCTGCCCAGTTCCAGTCCCATGAATACTTTCTTCGAGATCCCACAGCCTGTGCTCCTGGAAATGTGTGCTTTTGAGAAGTGTTCTCTCCAAGCTGAGGGAGCACCGAAAGGACCAGCAGGTGGCTTCTGCACTCTCAGATCCCGGAACCACTTTGAATGTGGCCCTCAGAGCCGACCATGGGAACTAGAATTCCTGGAGACCCCGCTCACCACGTTCATGAGGGGCTTTATAGTTTCCAAAGTGCCTACATTACCCTTGGACTCCAGAGAAGGCCAAAAGCTGGTTAACCTACCAACCGTACTGAGGTGTGATCACTCATTCCTCTACCGCATTTCACTTCTGTGTTCGTCTCTAAGGAAGACGTATAAAAGTTCAGAGCAGCTGTGTCTGCCGGAAAAGCCCTGTGTGCTCCTGTGAGGCTGGCACAGCAGCAGCAGCAGCAGCGAGCTCAGGTTCTGGCTGCTGACACCTTTCTGGAGAGGTGCCATCACCACCACCCGAAAAAAGACACGTCCCAGAAACCCAGGACTACACTGTCCTGCTAGATGTTACCTCCTGGCAGTCCCGGAGGGGAGGGGTTAAGGCCATCACAAGGAGGATCAGTACTAAAGAAAAAAGAAAAAATGTGAGGAGCCGGCGAGTTTTAACAGAGACCAGGCAAGAAATCTGGGCCCTGGTAGTCTCTTTCTCCTGAGACCCACTTTGGGCTTCATAACTGAGTCTTGCTAATGCCCCAGAATTGAGGGTCAGTTGGATGGAGATTAGGAATAGGCCTTCGCAGGGAAGGACTCGTGTGGATTATGACGTGTTAGAGGAAGCCGTCAGCTCTCGAGCTCAAAACATGTGGATGAGAGGAGGCGTGTATCTCATTAAGCCGAAGCCATGTGCTTGGGAGGACTGTGGTGACGTTTTTAAAGGTGTGCAACTCTCAGGGAGACTAAGGAAATGAACACGCTGTATAAAATCCACAGGCACGGAACCCCCTGGAACCCGGCGACACATTCACGAAGAAGCTTTAAATCAGACGAGCCACCACACGCAATGTAGAAATGCGCCAGCTCCCATAATCCTTTATTAAATATTTGACAAGTCGAATCACTTCTTTACAATGACTTCACTTTTTCACGGGACTCTTGCTGTCAGGAAAACAAACCACAATTTTTCCTTAGATCTCTCCAGAAAAGCCACAAGGATTTTGTTCTCAAACAAAACTTTTCCTGTGTGTATCAAATTCCACCATATTTTAAAGTTACTCTGTTCGAGAAAAATGAGCATTGTCCATAGGTGATCTTTAAAAAAATTCAAAGTAGTTTGGTTTTTAACCACTGTATCAAATAGTACTTGGCTTGGTATTAGGAGGTGAGTTTATAAGAAAAAGTCATGAAACATTGAGAATTCATTTGGAATGCTTGAAACTCTTTTCACCTTAAAGTCACTGTGTTGTTTTCATGTTTCACTTGACAAATGATGCTGAGTTAAGAAATGACAGCCTATTAACACCATCTTCTGGGTTCTCTCAGGCTCTGAGGGTCGGAATTCTCAGGGTTCAACTTGGAGAAGACACAGAAGGGACTAAGCTCTCACTCCCTTTCGAAACCAGATTCCTCAAGAAAGGTGTAAAAATGCTATACAAATATATACACATATATTTGGACAGCATATGTACGTACAGATGTATATATACTTTTTACATACATTGTAGTAAAGAAAGAACAAGGTTATTATGCTAGCTTTCACACGAAGGAACCCATGACAATCTGGGCGAAATCAGTCTCAGTAGGAGCTGCCGACCGGCTTCTACAGGAACACAGGTATCTGCAGACACAGGGTTATGGTCACGCGAAAGGCTTTCGATGCATCGATACAAGGCGGAGAGTGCAGTTCGCAGAGGGCTGTGGCCAATGTCGTTAGATTCCTATTGTTACTCCTTGCACACAGACGAACCGACGGAAAGACAAGCGTTTTAAACATGCATTGCTTTGGGTGTAACACCTTTAACGAAGGAGAGAAGTCTAACAAGAGGGTTCCCTGCACACGACCACACAAACGGAAAGCTTTCCTTTTCTAGAAAATACTACACAAGCTCACGTCCTAATGCTACAGCATTTTCTCTGACACACTGCAAACACTCTGGTGTGTGAGCGCGTGGGTGCGTATATGCAAGTGTATGTACACAGTTCATTAAGGCTTAGATAAATTAAAAAAAGTGGTCCAAAGTATATCACATTGCCTCCCCAGCTTTAAAATCTAAAGTACAAAGTGTAGTTTATAAGGATTTTTAAAAACACCTCTCAGACTTGAAATTGGCAGTTTTGACTTATCAGGAAGTGCCCCCGAAGCCTGAATGAGACAGAGGTAGTGATCTCCTGGGGGTCAGGAAGGGAGTACACCAAGCGGTTACCCTGCACAGCAGCACCCCCTACTGGCAAGGCAGAAAACAACACCGGACAGCATGTCCCCTCTCCTCCCCATCAGTACAGGGGTGCAGACTCAGGGTAAGGAGGAAACAGGCAAAGCAAGCACAGCTTGGCACAGTAGGTAGGAGATCGAGAATTGATTAATCCAGACTTTTTCATCGATTTAAAAATTTCAGAGGTGAGAGACCAAACTTAGGAAAATACTAGTCAAGTGTTCTTCGATTAGGAACTGTTAGAACAATGAGTAATTTGCTGTATATGAACTTGGCTTTCAAGGGAGCCAATTTGGATCTGGCATGATCAAACAGCAACGGTACATGTCTATTTTAACGATGTGAGAAGTACAAAGTGTTTCCAACGTTTTGCAAACCATTTCTCAGAATCTGTCCCTGCTCCCCCATGTGGGAGGAATAACCCATGTCAGGCTGCTGTTGTAGCACTGACCCCTGACCTCAGGAGGTGCCTAATGTCAGCTGCCAAAGCACCCTGGGAACAGCGATCACAGAACCATCGTACATTCTGATTTGGTAGAGGCCTGGCTTCAGAAAGGTACATAATGGGAAATGTTTGGGGAGAAAGAGATCCGGGCACCGAAGCTGAATGTAACTTTCCAACAGACAGATGCCCTGTTTCCTGTTCCCAAGGCAGCAGGCAGCACCCCATCTGAAGCTGGTCCCCCTGCAGACTTTCCAACTTGCTCTGCAGGCCACAAGAGGCAGAAAGAGAAAACACCCAAGGCCAACAGGGACAGTGCGGATGGGCCAAGGCTTGCGACGTGCAGGATGTAAATGCCAGAACTTACTTCCTAACCTCATGGCAAACTGGCCTTCTAGGAACTAGGAAAACCAAAACCAAACCTGAGTTAAAGTAATTTCTAAGAAAACAGAGGCCGCAGAGACCCTGGACTGCAGACTGGCGTCACTACTAAGGACAACTGGAAAGGCAAGGCTTCCTTTGACAGCAGGCCTGCTGACCAGCATGGGTGCAGAGCCCAGGAAAGACCCTTCATTCCACGGTGCAATGACAATTTTCTTTACTGCCCTATGTCATTACGTCTGATGAAGAGTGGGCATCAAGATGAAGAGAAAACAAGGCCTGTGACTATTTCAGCAATGAGTGAAACACCAAGAATCACTGAGAACGAGGGACCCTCATTGGGATTAAAAGCAAACAAAAGTGAATCTCAACCCAGCACTATGTAGCGGTTACTGAAACCAGATATTAAGGAGCAGGTAAACTGAGCTATTGTTTGAGATCATCGCCTTTCCAGTATTACTGTGGGCGATATGTCGGTAATTCTCTTCCAGGTGTAGAAATGATCTTAGAATGATTTTTCTTTCATATTTTTAATACTTTGCCAGTTTTGCACTTAACAAATATTCTCATTTGGAATACACTATTTAAAAATGACAGAAGAGCCTCAGTCCTTACACCAGAATTGCTGGATTTCTCCCCTCCAGTCTCACGGGATCTGTCTTGGAACCCATGCCACGCCACGCCACGCCACAGACTGCTTGCCCAGCCTCTAGCCCGGGTTTTACAAAGAAAGCTGACTCTGGACTAGGAGGGGCTGCAGAATTTTTTTTTTTTTTTGCCACTGAGACATTTGTTATATTGACTGAGGAGAAAAAAAACATTCCCACCAACAGATAAAAATGATGAACAGCACTTTTTTCCTAGTTACTCAGAATCTGTACATTCTGGTCACTATTTGATACTTCAAAATTGATGTGGAAAGGGAGCCCATCCTTGGCTCTGCAGAGCCACCTTGTTTCACATGCCTCAGACCTCAGATAACTTGTTTACAGCCACCAACACTCACAGCTTCTCCCCAGCCCCCAGAACGGAATTTCTTCCTCCGAGAGGTCCTTCTTCCGTAACCCATGGAGGCCCTAAAACCACCATTTTTTGTCTTTTTCACAGCTGGCAAGAGATCAAATCTCTAGTGTCCCCTGACTGCTAAAACAGGGTCTGGGACAACACAGGTTAAAAAGGACAGCAGGGCTGAACCGCTACCCTGCCTCAGGCCATCTCTCAAAACACAGGATTCTGCAAAAAACTGAGCAGTGCGGTTGCACTGCACGCCCGGCCCCTGCCCAGCGGAACAGCCTGAGTGCAGAGGCTCAGACCAGTCCCCCCACTCGCTTCCCTCCAGCACAGAACACACATGACTGGGCAGCACATGGCGCCGAAGGAAGCAGGCAGCACGTCCCAGGGAACAAAGTGGACAGATCAAGTGCGTCTTAAATGCATCTTGGAGCAGAAACTGCAAAACGATCGGTGAGCACAGGTCCGTTAGCACAGCTTTCGTTCAGCCAGCTTTCATGTACCTGCAGCCAGATTCCCTGTGCACAGATATTGCCCCAGAAAGATGTGTGCAGGGGGGAGAAATAATCGTCACCTTTACTGTCCAGGAGAAGAGAAAACATAAGCCAAACCAGGCGTGACCTCCATGTCGTACATGAAGAGCCTCAGCCACCGGTGTGGTCAGGACATACGTGGGTTACTTAGCTACCATCAGTGAACGCGTAGGAACTGGAGACCAGACAGATCCGGTTTCCACAGCTGCAGATCAAGCAGCGCCGAGTTCCACTCAAACAAAGGTCTCTGCTACAGACAGCAAAGAGGAAAATATAATAAATGAAGGACTGTACAGCATCAGGAAGGGTTAAGACATCTCTCTGGTGAGAAATGATCGTTCAGCTCTGTCTCACATGCGTGGGAGCACACGTAAGCACACGTAAGCACATGTAAATAGCTATGCGACCCCTTCAAGTCAACATGAAATTGTCAGGCTATGGTACAATTCTCCCAGCCTGTAGCTATTATGCTAAATTTGTACAGAAAACCCCCCATACCCTAATATCCAGTTTGTTTTCATTCTGAGTGTGGAAAAAAATTATCATTATGCCTAATGTTATATTTTAAATGCTCTCAAAGTCTGTAAGAAGGCTTTTGGACAAAAATCAGTCTTCAAAGTCTAATAAAGTTGAGGGGTAGGGGTGTCAAAGTCCTTCAAAAATAAAAATGTCACAGACATTAAACCTGGTATGAAATTCAAATTTAAAAAAAGCTCACTTTTCCAAGTACAGGACACATCTTTAATTGCAGTAAAATGAAATCGGAAAATCGGTCTAAATCATTTTCAAAAAGTAAACATGAGTTGTAATACTATACCTGCCGAGTGATTGATTCCGTTCGTGGTCATTATAAAGTATGTAAAATGTTTATTAAGGCCTCTCCCTACAGAGGCACAACATAAATAGAGTTAAGTCCTGAAATGTAATTAGTGTACACGTCAACCAGTTGATAATTTGCGGTGGAAAATGCAGAAATGGGACGTGGGCCTGGGTTCCCACGTCTGAGCTTGGGCAAGTCGCGGGCGAAGGCTCTGCTCCGGGAGCCGCGCGGCGCGACGCTCTGGGCCATCGTCTCTGCAAAGCGGGGGATGCACACGTGCGGGTGGGGCCTGCTCGACGGACCACCCCCCGAGGCGGGGGCGCTTAATCCACCCCCTCAAATCCTTGGGCATTCTCCACAGCCATGAGGAGCTTCTCCCGTAAATCTTCGAAGGTTTCATATGGAGGTAAGTCAAGGCGATTAAAGCTGCAATGGCAACAGAGGGGCAGGTAAACAGCCGTGTTTGTTACCCGTTAGTCAGAAAAGCATTTCTGAGATTTGGCGGAAGGGGCGTTGGGTGGTGGAGTAAGAGCATGGAAGGGTCCTAACTAAATTCTGATGATCAAAATATAAATTTTGGTGATGAAACTGTCCACACCAAGTAGGCTATGGAGCCCACAGAGAAAAGAATTTTCTGATAGGCCATAGAACCTCTCTACTCCGGCTAGTGGTGGCTACTGCTGGGGAGGGAGACACCGAAGGCAAGGAGGTGACAGACACCCCAACATTTCCAGACCCTAGAAACACTATAGAACTTATGCACCAGGAGCTCCGGGTGAACGGAGGCTGGGCCATTTCCTAGTGCTCTCACTCAGCCAACTGCTTTTCTACTTGGTCACTCTCATGGTTTCCATCACAGGCCTCTGGGGTGGGTCACGCTTTCCCTGCTCTGCACAGAGCCCTCACCCCTGGCAGCACCGTAGACCCAAGGCTAGAAGTAGGCTGCCTGTGGCCCCAGAACCCACGCTTAGCTCCCTCCACCAACTAAAGTCAGGCAAGTAATAGATAGACATGTTGCATGAAGAGCTGCATTATTCGAAAGCCCTGGCTGACCCGCAGACTTCGCCTGGGGTGCCCCCAACGGCCCTGGTGGTTGTGAGGCTTCCAGAAAAATGAAGCAGACTTGTCCGAGAAAGTTCAGATTCTGGCTCAGCCACTTGCCAGGTGACCTGCCGGGGCAAGTCACCGCCCTGAGTCTGCTCGTCTGTGAAAAAGCTTGCAGGGTGCTGGAAGGGTCAAATCAGAACACTCGGAAAATGTCTCTGTGCACTGCAAGGGCACCGAGATGGTGGCCACAGTCACCGTGCGCCCAGCATTCCCCGAGTGCCCCCAGTCACAGGAGTCCTGCCTGTGGGGGTAGACGGCTGATGGGCACCTGCCACAGAGATGGACACATAGCCTCGCCACAGCTGGGATGATTTAGTAAGAGCAGATGCCCAGGGAGTAGTCACCATGTGCCATCGGCAGGGGGATGTATCTTTCGGTTATTACCTCAGGGAGTCCTGGCAATCGCCCTGCAAGCCACGTAATGCTTCAACCCTATTTGAGGCACAGAGAGGTTAGGCAACTTGCCCAAGGCTACACAGTATGCTGGAATACAGTCCTCTTGTTGCCTCTGAAGCTAGCCCTGGGCACCGTCTGTGCTGCACTCCCGGCCCCGATTCACGAGTTCAAGTTTGAAAAGCTAATGACTGTCCGCAGCAGCAGGAAACAAACATGGGTTCTCAAGGGTCCGTGACTGCTTTTCCCTCTAATTGACCCCCTTCTTGTAATTGCTGGGGCACAAGGAGTTAATACACATAGATACTCATAGGACGATGCTGGGAACACACCTAAGAACGGTTAGCTATCGTTAGCTCTGAGGTCCGGGGAGGGGTCAGTCTCTGGCCTGCCCCTAACTGTATGACCCCATTATGTTCGGTGGGCTTCTGTGTCTAGATGTGTGGGCCGAATAAAGTTATTGTGAGAGTCGACAACCCAGAGCCGGTAGGTCTGCGGTTCTCAGTAAAGTGTAATTTTAAACATCCAGTCAGTGACCTTTGACAGGACAATGAAATGAAGCTCTTTAAAGATGGGACATGCAATGATTACATCTGACGGATCTACGGAAAGTACCAGAGAGAACCAGACCTCCCTGCCCTCGCCCTCCCAGTGAGTCAGGTTTGCACTCTGAAGCATAACTGTGTGTTTCACACTCTCACGAAACACGGAAGACAGTGACATCCACACGGTGGAATCTGAGTGTGGAGCAGTTGCTGTGAGCAGCCGGCATAGCGTGTTTCCACTGCGACAGTCGGATCCGGGGCCGCGCGGCCGGGAAAACAGAGCGAGTCCTGCCCTGCCAGCCAGGGTGGCTCATGGTGAGCACTCTGCCCGGTCAGGTGGCAGTCATTCTGGCGTTCTGGGGACACCATCACTGGGAAACCTCTTTGGTTGCTTTATTTCTAGGACACACCGAGGAGAGGGCCTGGGAAGAGCCGGCTAGGCGGCCGTTCTCGGGCGGGCAGGCCTCCGTCCTTCCTGAGGGAGAGCAGGGATTCTTAAACCCTCGCTGTCCTCCGGACCCACCTGGGGCTCTGACTACCCCATGGCCCGGGCCACCCAGCAGACCAACGACTGCTGAATCTCTGGGGGTGGGATCGATCTGTCTGTCTGCCTGTCTATCTACATATTTAAACATTCTTGGTGGTTCCAACGTGCGGACAAGGTTGAGACCCACTACATTCAGAGTGCTGATCTGGGCTTATCAGTGGCTGAAGCACGTGGACGCCACAACAGCAGGAGAGCCCAGCAGTGCGGTGTCTGTCCCCGGCATCACAGAGGGATGCAGGCCGAACACTCAGCTGTCTGGCTGTCTTTGGAGGGGACGAAAAGAAAGTGGGCTGTGTAGACATGTGCCATAGATGAGCGTCATGGCTGGGTGCAGATTCTGATTTTGGCAGACTTGAGGTCACATCCTGGGCATCTGTGACCCGTGTGACCGGGGCGAGCTTGCTCACAGCCTGTGGCGATGCTCGCCGTGTACTACACGGCTGCCCATGAGATTCGAGTACCGGCCCGCAGACGAGAGCCACTCCACGTGGCCTGGTTCTCGCTCCTATCTCTCCTTGTCAGACCAGGAGCTGGGGCGCTCTTCCTCAGTCCGCACAGTCCTGGGTGCTGCGCGGTGCCCGCTGCCCTTTTGACAAGGGCCATCACAGCCCAGAAAACGACATCTGACTCTGGCATTGTCTGGAATAAAAGCTCCAGACTACCAAAACATTCTCCCCCTAGAATAAGGGCAGAGAATCACAGACAATGGCTGCTTCTGACAGTCCCCAACTGCCAGTTTGCTTTCAAGGGGCTAAAGGGCCAGGATCATACATGCATCCCATTCGGCCCCATGGATGGTACAGTACACAGAGGAGAAAACTTTCTTGCCAGCCGGGGACTCAAACAGAAGTGAGAAACACCTCACAGCTGATTTTTTACCAATCCATGTTCGTGAGAACACTCTCCCAGCTGCACTTCATTCCCCTCCTGCGAGGGGTGCTTGGTGCTCGTGAGGGCCCCCTTCCACTCACACCCTAGGAGCAAGAAATAAACCCTGTGGGGAAAACCAGCGCAAGGGGTGTCGCTGCTCAGATTAACAAGCGCTCCCTGAGAGCGGCCGGGTTCGTCCCTGTGCCAGTTTTACCTAACTCTGCAGAGAAACCAGAGACGCCTCCTGGCCCTGCATCCTGGAGGTGCCGCCCGCCACCCTGAATACCCGGGCTGCGGTCCTGGCTCAGGCTGCCTCCCCTCCTCTGGCCGCCATCAGATGGGTGCTAAGTTCCAGAGACTCATGGGTTACTGCTGGCCTTGGAAGCCCTTTCAAAACAATGTCTCCATGGGGAATTTTATCCCAAGTTCTAAAATGCTGATTTCAAGGTGGAATAAAAACCCAATCTGTTTCCAGTTTGGGAGCTGTCATGCCCAGGAGTGGTGGATGTTAGTAATAAAATGTCTGCTTCCTGGAGTGATTAGGGGAGAACGGGGTTTGGAGGTGGAGTCCCCCACGGCACTCGGGGCTTAACCCTGGGTGTGCCAGCTACACCAGACCCATTTGGAGCGTGGCTGGAGCGTGGCGAGCATTGCCACGCACTTCACATTTCCATCTGCCACATTGACACTTCCGCCTCTGTGCTGTTTGCGGGCAGGAGCGCAGCATTATTCCGAGGCCTCCCGCCCAGCAGCATTCATGGGTAGGTACGTAAACCACGGTTTGTGGACAGGGGTGCGTCACTCACCATGTGTGAGCTCTGGGCAGTTTGTCGGGGCTCCCCCATTGCTCTATTGTAAACAGCTGAGGACCGTTGGAACCTAGACAGAGAGAAGAAACGTGAATGCTCACAGCGCTCAGGGTGAGTGTGTGACCCTAAGACTCTGTCTAGGGCTGCAGTTCACTGGGGAAAGCGAGAGGTTTGCACAACCTCATGACGCACACGCCATGTCACCTTCGTAAGGAAATCCGACCGAGTGTGACAGACACCATTGCACAAGGAAGTACAGGCTGCTGCAGCCTTTCCACCGAACCCGGGGCGTTCAGATTGAAAACTTATTGGGGGTGGGGGCGGGGATTAAACGTGACCTTCAATAGGAAGAGCAGAGTGATTTAAAAAACAAAACAAAACATCTATAGTAAGCACTGAAGAGCTCTGCTTCCTGGAGGTGAGGAGTCCTTGAAACATTGAGTTTATAACCACGTGGATGATTTTGCAAAATCTAGTGTTTAAAGGTAGACCAAAAGAACAAAATTAAAAAAAAAAGAGAGAGAGAGAGTGAGAGAGAGGGAGAGGCCGCATCCTGCTCACCATACAGTTCAGCAAATCCATTCATCGGCACCCGGGACGTCCCCGTGACAAACTGCAGTAACCGGATGCGCTTCTCGGCGTCCATCAGCAGCACAGCCTGTAGACAGAAGCAGAGTCATCAGCGCCCATGGGCCACCCAGCACCTGCTGGTGGAATGCCAATGGGTGGGACTGACCGTATTTACACGTAAAACTAGATAGCTGACTCTGAAAATGGTCCTTTCTTTATTTTTATTTTTTAGTGGCCGCCACAGTACTGGCCTCTGTCTTAGAAAGCGAGGGATCACAGTGTCTCTTTGTTCTCCTGCAGTAAGTCAAGATAAATGGCATAAAAAGCAACCTCTTTGAGCCCGGCACCAGGCTCAGGTGTCTGGGTGCGAGACCGCCAGTGCCCCCGAGAGCCGATGCGAAACACACGGGGTGTGGGAAGGCGGCCACCCCGGGGGAAGCCAGGTCAGGGGGCGGGATTCAGACGGTAGACAGACTCTCAAAGAAACAACACTTCATAAAAAGAAACAAAGGCAAGAATAGGCCTTGAAAATAATCCCTGTATGTTACATATCTGAGTTATAACAAGAGTTGGGTTGGCTTTACTGATAATGTTACTTGAACTGCTGAAAAAAAATCCAAATAAAACCTGAGCGAGACTTGAACTAGGATTTGAAGATGCTGCTCTTTTCTTTTTAGGTCTGTTTTTGGTGGCACTTGAAATATTATTAAAAATAGATGTTAGAAATTAACACAAGTGAAATGATTTCTTATCTCTGTAAAGCAAACGGTCAGCTTTTTTCCCCCCTGTAATTGTTCTTTTAAAGTCAGTTTACTGGCTCTTGGACCCATTCATCATCATTTCCCTTCTCTCCTGAGCTAAACCGAATGCAAACACTGACCCTAAGTAGTACATCAAATTTCTCTGTAGGCAGCTTTCACTGAAAGATAACAAAAGATCCAAATGCATGTTGGAATTAACAACAAAAAAATTGGGAAAATGATTTTTTAACTGAAAATAGCATCTCGGAAAAGTGAGGCCCTAAGCACAGTTTTGCCCTGAGAAGCCCCCTAATTCTTCTTCACACTTTGGGAGACGCATTCCAGTTCTTGAATCCAGGTACCTCCCCCCTTTCAGAATCGCCCCACTCAACAGGTTCCTCAAACAGAAGCTGTTTTAACCCAGAGGGTAAGGAAGGACAACCGTCCGTGGAGTTGACGATTTCCTCTCCAGTTTGCCCCCTCTCTCCGCCAGCCGCCCAACTCCCTGCAGCTGGACTAAAGCCAGACCGTGGGGAGGGCAGCATAGCCCTCAGCCCGGCCCAGGGAGAGGTGCAGGGTGTGGGCCCGGAGGCCCTGCTTTACCTTCCAGAACCACTGAATGACAGGATGGTTTGGGCAGTAGCCGTTCTTGTAGATGGTGTGTTGTCTCCAGTCATTCACGTCCACGTCGCCGAGGCCACACATTAGCAACTAGAAAGGAGAGACCCTCTGTGAGTGAATGGGGCACAAAGGGAACATTGAAGGGATCACACTCCACACGTGGCCTTTCTCAGGGCCAGCAGGCCAACCTGCGCAAAGCGGCAAGCTGGCAACAAACTCCTCACAACAAACGTGGGGAATGTGTTCCAAATTTCACCTGCCACTGCAGACCACAGGGACAGTGTCGGTGACAAGGGGGCCCCCAAGTCTACTGCCTGTACAGACCACAGCACTGCACAGTGGAGACAAAAGCTCCAGACGGCTCTTTCTCCCTCCCCTCCACTGAGCAGAGCCCATCGACTTTCTTATGCTCCATGTACATCACCTCATTATGCGCTGTTTCTAGTTCCAAGAGGTGATTTGTCTCAAAATTTGGAAATCTCCCCACCCACGGAGAATTAGTGTATTACGACAGTGAGGACTCATGCCCCCCAGACCGACTGACCCAGGGAAGGGCAAATCACCCATCCGTCCAAGACTGGTGGAGGCAGACCTGTGCTGATCTGCCTTCCCAGTTAGCCTAGGGCTGCGTCTCTTAGTACCCAACCCTCCCACGGGGACGGCTTCCTGTGGGCAAACAAACATGACCTCCTGCAGAGGGACTCCAGTGAAAGGAAAGAGGGCTGAGCCAGACGCCTGGAAACGGAGCCCCAGGCCTGGCTCTGCCGAAACCTTGCTGGGGAAACCGGCGAGGTCAGTAACTTCTCAACATCATGTACTTGAACTTTCCATACTAAGATAGAAAACCAGGAAGCCAGTCTACACGGAATGCCTCTTTGGATGTGGCTCATACAGGTGGCTAACTGAAGCCCCCCAACAGCTTCTGAGCAGACACAGGCTGGCAACATAAAAGGGTGTGAGATTCCTTTGCTTTCTAAATGGCTCGTTCTCGTCTACCTCAACGAAAGCAGCGGAAACAACTGGAGGTTAAACTTCCTGTTGCCTTCCATACCTGACGGACCACTGCAAGTTCACCGAGACACCTGTCCGACAGCCCCAGCAGACGCTTACACCCAGCTCCTGGCCAAAGCTGCGCGTGGCTGCCGGGTGGACATGAGCAGGTGTAGCTGGGCCCTGGGAACCGGGCGCTGCCAGCCCACCAGGTGTGCGACCTTGACTTTACTGGGAGCAGCAGCTTTCCTCACCGAGGGCAAAGGGCCACAAGCCCCACTCCGCTCAGCGGGCCTCTACCTGTCCCCACGTCCCAGGCTGTCCTCTCTGTGGCAAGGAACCTGCGGGGACTCCGAGACTCCTTCTGCTATTTCCTTACTCGCCCATTGGCAAGCAAGCCCTTTAACAGACATGTTGCAGAATTCACCTAAGCTGACTGCCCAGGGCATTATGGGTCAAAGGACATTAAACTATTATTGAGCCCTGGCCAGGTAGCTCAGTTGGTTAGAATGCTCTCCCAATACACCAAAGTTGAGGGTTCGATCCCTGGTCAGGACGCATACAAGAATCAACTGAGGAATGTGCAAATGGGTGGAACAAGCAATTGATGTTTCTCTTTCTCTCTCTTCCCCTCCTTCCTAAAAATCAATAAAATTTAAAAAATCATTTATAAAGTAATGAGAAACTTAAAGAAATCTACTTTATACAAATTTTTTATAATACAAACCTCCAGCTCATTTTCATCAAAAATTTTAATCAAATCAATAGGAAGCAGTTCTGTGAACCCCTGAAAGAAAACAAACAAAAAAAATCACCCTAAACACCTTTTTCCTTGAAAGAGGGAAATTTTACAGAAAAAAAAACAATCTTTTTTTTTTTTAGCCAGGAAAGAGAAATTCTTTACTATGATTTATACACCAGTGATAGTAGCCATAGTTGTAATTCTGATAAAAACAGCCTCGTCACAATGGAAAAGTGTCGGGAAAAAGTAGAATCTAGAAGGCCGAGGTACCTGAGTAATGTTCAAGCCCTAAGAAAATACGGGTTGCTGTGAGCAGGCGGGTCGCAAAGCTCATGTAAGACCCAGTGTGGTGAGCCAGTGCGTCCCGAAATACATGCATCACGGATGTGCCAGGGAATATTAAAAAATCAGGGACTGGGATATGAGAAGCAAAGAGAACTGTAAGCAAATGGAATGAAAGGGGGACTGTGTGGTGCCGCACACTCCTGTCCTGGAGACTGGTCGGCGGCGTGGGCTGCGCCGTCCTGGCCTCTCTGCGTGCCCCACCCTGCGCCCGTCTTTTGGTGGGTGATCATCCCACCGTGCCGCCCTCTCTCCAGCTGGGAATAAGGTGCAGGCAGACTTCTTGGTGGGCACGGCTTACCTCCAAGAAGGCGTTCATTTGCTTCTGGACCCTGTTCACAAACCTCCACTGGATGACTAAGCTGCGGGAGAAAGCGGAACAGCATTTAAGCACCTTTGTTCTCACTTCTTTCTTCATAGCTGTGAGCACATCTCCTCAGACAGGGGAGGGGAACCCTACAACAGCAAAGGAAAACAGGGTGCGGGGCCCCAGCATACACTGCTGATTCGTGAGTTCTTTTGAGAGTCACTGAAATCTCACAGAGGACTTGAGAGGAAATGCTAGGTTTGTCCCTGCTACTCCCTAGAGCAAGGCTCAGTTTCTCTAAGTCGCTTTATAAATGTGACCACAAGAAGAAGAGGGGAGAGGTCATGGGGTGTGAACGCACAGGTGTATGTGCAGAACAGGTATATACACATAAACTCACATATATACACACCCACTTACATATACATATGTACATACATTTTTAAAGGGAGTAGGGCACATATTTTATCAAATGATATGTCATTCTAGGATGCAGTGTACCTCATCTCAACAATGACATATAGTTTATCAGCAAAACGATTTACACTAATGCTTCCATATGGAGGATTAATGGTCAGACTCTTTTATGTGACAGATTCACTGAAACCATCTTCCCCTGGTAACGTCCAGCTGCAGCCGGATGTGCTGCCAGGCGCAGCAACTTTAGAGACCTGCTAAGGCGTTTTGTTGTGAGACAGCACCAGGACCTTGTCACATTGTCCACAGCTCTCACCTAGGAGGTGACACTGTGACTGTGGCCCATAGGACCAGCCTGCTCCCACCACCCCTCAGCCCTTCCAGGGAGCTGCAGCCAGCGGCGCCATGGCCCTCTGCATGCCCCAGGGGACGCAGGTGTCAGGGAGCAGGTGCAGGTTTCTATCTCCCTTTTCTCAGCGAAGGTAGCTGAGGCTCTGCCCAGCCCCAGTCCCACCGAATCTGAAACCTCAGAGTTCACTGCGAGGAATGACGCACGACACACAGCCTGACGTCTGAATCCTCCAACTTTCGACCCTGGTCACCGGAGGGACTGCTTTAGAGTCTATTCAAAGCCTGTACTTTCTGAGTGAAGACAGTGGTGTCTGCCAGAGTGTTGTCTGCTTGCTGAGATTGCCCGAGTTCAGAACGAGTGTGCCACTTAGTGTGAACAGGTAAGAAGGACAGTATTTTCCTTCTTGTTGGTAAGCTTTTAGCCTTGTGAGTGTCCTATGCATTGGTCCACGCTTTGTCGGGGTCCCTAAACAGAGACTCCAAGGTTTTTCTCTGTGGATTATGCTAAAAGGTGCCAAGACCCTGGGCCAATGCCCCCAATTAAGTCCTCTGGACCAAGCAGGTTGAGAAGAGAGGAGGGGGCCCAGCTTGTTGAGAAGGAGCACTGAGTGCAAACCAGGAGCTCAGCGGAGGCTGGAACCTGCAAGATGAGCAGAAACCAGGGCCTGGAGGGGACCAGATATGGCTGCCTTGACCTCGTCCCCACTCCAGGGCTAGCAAGGGCAACCTGGAAATCCTCGGAAAATCCCAGAATTGCGTACTTGAATTGTACACTTGTACCAAATGGGAAATTATAACACACCCAACAGAGAAAGACCTTCTGTCTGGTGTAACTGCCCCAGGGTGACTTAATACCTGGACTTCCAAAGGGCTCAACATCGTTCCACGAGCCGAGACTGAGATTGGGTTCAGATCATTACAAATATCAGAGACAATTTATTGTGTCTGCATGGGCTGTGTTTTCCTATCCACTCTCACTATTTCCCTACATTGTCATTATGGGAAAAAGTCAGGAGAGAGATGAGTATTTTATCTTTGGTCCTTCCTAATTTTACCCCACCGGTCGCTGCCATTCTCTCCTAACTGCAGCCTAGAGAGCCACCCGCTCCAGGAGAGTTTCGTCACACTGCTCAACAATGTCCACCGCGCCCTCCACCAGCCCCTGACACAGCAGCTCACTGGAGTCACGTTCCAAGTCAAACTTCCCACCCTGTGACCCAACTTCCCGCTCGCCTGTGCCAGAGGAACTGGAGGGTGGAAAACATGCCCATAACACGCATGCGCTGTTCTTGAAAGGCAGGAGTGGCAACCTAACACGCTGTGCGATGTGATAGAAGGCCAGTAAGTGCATATACGTACTCGATATACTCCCGTTTGTTTTCATTAGTGACCATGATTTCGGACCCATTGGGCTTCAGATCCACTTGATACGTCTGCAATTACAGAGATAAAACCACAGTCACCATTAGAAAGTTACCCTGCATATTGTTATTGAGTAATGATGTCTTTCTACAAAAGTAAAATTTGTTGAGAAATATTCCCCAGGAAACAGGCTTTACGCATAAGAGGGTGTCTGATGAGGTTTTTACGTTGTTAAAATGCTACCCATTTAAAGAGGTTATCACGAAAGGCAAATTATTTCATGGTTATTTATGAGTTTTAATTATTTTTCCCATATTAGCAACAGTGGAGAAGAACAATGTTTTTTTCCTGCTATTCCTTTATCAGGAAATTAATTGTGAACAGAAAAGAGAGGGTATGTCCACCGAGATTATGGAGATCCAAATTCTAATGTAGTTTATTTGTTTCTGAAAATTGGATTTTATAGTAAAAAAAAAAAAAAAGCGCTGTGTGGAATTTCTTTTAAGGAGGCAAACACGGGAACTTAAAAAAAACCAAAGATGCTTATAATGCCTGGTCCTGCAGGGTTTCCCCACGGGGCTGCTTTCCCCCCTCCGTCCCCGCCTACCCCAGTGCCTGTCCCAAACAACCAACTCAGGTGCTGCTTTGTGAACTCACAACAAGAACTTCCACTTATGGTAGCTCTGAAAGGGGCCTCTTCCTGGTGGGTGGGTGGGTAGGTGGGTGTGAGCACACAAGTGTATAGTGCACAGTTCATTCTTCCCATTTGGCATAGGGCAGCTGTTCAAGTCCTGTATTTAAAGCACTCCCAGGAGGCCTCAGAAACCAGCAACTCCAGGTTCTCATTAACCAGAAAGAAAACAGAATCCATCCACGCATTCACTCAGTAAGTGCTCAGTAGGCACCAGCCATGCATGGCACAATCTGTGCAAAAGCAAAGACGTCCTAGAAGCTAGAGAGGCGCTCCGGGGACACCCGGACCCACCTGTCCGAAGTTTTCTTCATCGATACAGAACATGAGGTCCAGTTCAGTGGGATCGTTTTCTAGGATCCATTTCAAGGAGTTGTAATACTCACTATCCTACAGAAATGACACGGACATTAAAAGGAAGCTTTTTCTTCTCAAAATACAAACTTGCTTGACTTTCAATAGTTACGTCCTAATATAAGTCCATTCTCATCACTCAACAGTTACATCAGGCACTAATACAATGTTTTCCACTCCTCCCCAAACCTAGTGTACTTGTTTCATTTAAAATAGAAGCCAAACACATGTTTTAGTGGCAACAGGGGTTTGCAGTTGAATTCCGTCCTGTGTGCAGTGTAGAGAATGCAACTTGTACTGGAGGGCTGTCTGCAATCTCACCATTGAACATGCAAAAGATGAACGCAGTTCCTATCTTTTAAGAGTGAGGAGATCAAAGGGCAACAGGGAGAATGGGCAAATGTTCTAACTAATTGAATATCAATGGCTGTAAGTTCTGACTCTTCCTGGGCTTTACCCTCCTTTAAGTCAGTGTAGGCAAACAGGAAGGACCAGGTCACAAGTGCAAGGGCCTGGCCTGCCCTCTCACAGGGACCTCAGTGCTGGGACAAGAGGCTGAGAAGGACAGACAGAATGTGCACGCCCTCTGTCAACCTGTGACATAGAATTAATTCAGACTTTCTGAGACATGTCTGTGGTCCTTGCTGCCTCATTACACCATCATCAAGCATAAAGTGCAAGGCAAAGGCGAAAGCTGGAAGGAAATTTGAGCCTGGTCCTGTGGCTGAGTCTCCTGGCCACAGAAGAGTGGGCTCAAGGTCACAGCCAGCATCCTCCCTCCTTTCACACACAGATGCTGCACAGAAACAGCTACCAGTGATGGTCAGTAGTGAGAACACGGGCTCACAGGCCCAACTACAGGAGGGACACAGCCCACATCACAGCAAGGCCAGGGGCTTCCTGACTCAAGTGAGAGGATGTGACGTGAGAGCGGAGCTACATGTACCCCAGTGGACAACGATGCTCCTCAGTGGCCCTGCGTGAGTGTGCTGGGGCCTGGGCAAATGCCCACGCCTGGAGGCAGGCAGTGGGGGTACAGGTAAATGAAAAGAAAAACAGAAGCAACAAGTAGATTATGCAAAGCACATCAGTTTCTATTTGTACAAAAAATCCTTTCAGCTGTAAAATGGTCAGCCTGTGTAAAAGGAGTCAAACGCAGCAGGGAAACCAGAATCCCTTGGCACAGAAGTTTGCATTTGCTAACTCGTTTACCCCTCCCCACATGCAGTGGGCACCCCCCTGCCACGTATACTCTCTTCCCTTCATCTACCGTTTTGTTCTGTGCCCTTGCCATTTCTGAGGTCAGAGAACAGAGGAATAGTGAATCTCTGAATGTTCAGTATTAGCAGTTTTCTATGGAAAACAAGGGCTGCCACGAGGTCTCCAGGGCACAGCAGCCCTGGGGGAAGCAGAGGCACCTGAGCTGTGGGTGGCGTATCCAACCCATGGACCTGGGGCCGTTGGAAAAAAGGGAGAAGAGTTTAATGGTGCCCTATTATTCCGGCGATAAACATGGCTGTGACTGCAATGCGATCACAGCGGCTATTCCGTCAGGCGTGAGTGGCCCAGGTGTCCAACGGGAGGGTCTGCGGTTACTCACCACAGATTCCATGTCATTCAGGGTTATCTGCTTTCCCAGCATCATTTTGTAAAAGGGTCTAATGAAGAATCCTAAAATACGATGAAAACTGGGTTAGTTTCAAATTGTTGACGCTACTGTGCATCAGAAATGAAATGCAAGATGAACACACCTTCTATTTGAATGAGAGATCAGGACAGAACAAGCAAAGACCTCTGACAGTAATTTGTGACTGAGCAGATGAGGGCCTGCCTTTTTTGGGGGGCAGGGGTCAGTTACTAGGAGGGCGGGTCCTCTCACAGAGGTGGTAGGGAGGACAAAAAGGCTCCTGGGGGGGTGACAAATAGGTCTGAAGGCCCCACAGGCCTTTGCAGTGCAGAAAAGGCACATGAACAGGGGAGGGGGTACACTGCAGGCAGAGGGACAAGAGGGGGACCTGTCAGTAGTAGGCGGGTTGGCAGCGCAGGGACCCCTGGGGAGGACGAGCCTGAGTGGGGTTGGAGGGGTGCGGGCTTGCATGGGGTGCGGCAGAGTTTGCGCTGCCACCTCGGTGAGGGCAACGGGACTCACTGAAGGCCGGTCGGCAACTCCACCTGCATTTCAGCATTGTGCTGGGGCGGGAATGGCGAGAAAAAGCAGGAAGGGGGCAGGACATGAGGGAGAGAACTTAGAAGGCTGTGCCCTTTCCCGGGGGGGCAGGGGAGGGCTGATGAAGGCCTGTAGGAGGTGATGGCAGTGAGGACAACCTGCCCACCACACAGGGCCCCCCAATCCACCTTGTCCACAGGCACGTCAGCACCACGCGCCTCCTCATTGGGGGGCGCTGGGGTAGCCCCACCCCCACTTAAGCAGTCACCAATCCCCTGCAGCAGATTCCTATTTGCACTGGCTCAGGTGGCCCCAGGGCTGCAGACTCAACACCTTCGTGTCTGGGGAGGTAGAGGAGGAAGCTGACACAAGGATGTGTGGCTGCAGTTTGAGAAACAAGATGCTGCTGACCACACACACCTGTGGGCGTTCCGGCTCTCAGTCCTGCAATTCCCGGGTTCCCCTGTCTGCTCCTGCTTTTCTCCAAGACTCTCTCCATGAGCCTTGACTCAGCCGGCCCTTGCTCTTCTGAAACAGCCCCAGCTTCTAAATGCTCAAATCCTATCCCGCCGGCAAGGTGTGCCTAACCCTGAGAGTGTCCCCGACCCTCCAGCCACATCGGAGTCTCCTGGGGTCTGTTGTCCCACTAGGTTACAAGTTCATACAGGTCAGTAGCACATCTCTGGATTCCCCCAGCACCACTAAGTATGTCTTCTCATGGCAGAAGATATATGGAGTTACCTAAGAAAAGGCTGAAGTGAACTGGAACAGCTGAAATAATCTATGGCATGCCTTCGATATAGCGAATGAAAATGTATTCACACAACATATGTATACAGAAAGAGTGAATGTAGTTTCTTTCTAATAAAAAAACTGCCTCTTTTCCCAACTAAAAATAAAACACTGAAATCAAAGGATTGAAATCAGCTAGCGAGTAGCATTAAAAACACACTGAAGGACAGAGTCGAGAAGGGGCACCAATGATGTACTGAACCAGCCAAAGCTCCGCAGATGCAGTCTCTCTCTCTCTACAGTGACTGCAAGGTCAACCTCAAGTCTTCCTGTCTTCCATCCTCAACCACTTCACCCCCAAGTCCTTCCAAAATATTTCCAATTCTCCTTCCTCAGTGATGTCTTCTGTAGTGTTTCCCGCCAGGGGCAGCACTTTTGAAGGGACCAAATCTGTGAGAGTCCCTACCCCGAAGTTCTTCCATGGCCTAAATGCTCTACCCAGGAACAAGGTCAGCCTGTGCCATCTGTGCAGCGGCGAACCCAGGGTCAAGGCCAAAGCTGAGCTATAACATTGCTTTGAAATTATTTACAGTCTCCTCGCATTCAAATAAAAATAATCAGTTGGGGACATGTGAAACAATGGCAGGACGTTGGATGAATCAGATCATTCTGAATAACTTTTCAATTAGTTTTTCCATCTGTCACAGAATACAGCTCTTGCTAAAAAAAGTTATTCTTAAAAGCAGAAAATACAGAATCACAGAACGTTCTGTGCTTCATACTAGTTTCTCTTGTGGGAAAATTTTAAACTGTGTGTAGACACTGTGTTTTCAGTGCTCAAACTGACAGCTGGGAAAAGCACCTCCATGATGGGCGAAATGTAACCATAATTCACTGAATTGCACAGAACCAGTGATGCGTTGGCTGGACATCTGTGATGTGAAAGATCAGACACCTAAAGAGGGACTGCAAACAGCCCTGTCCTGTTTTTATGACTTCAAGGCTTTTTAATAACTTACCGTCTAAAAGTTTCCCATGAAACACCGCCAGACCAGCAACTCTTCCAATAAAAGTGAAGTAGGACAGATGGTCTTCGTTACACAGGCCCGAATTGGGGTTGATCTGCAGGGTGTAGTTGTCCCTGGGGATGGAAGAAAAAGCCCCATCGCATTTCTCAAGAAGAAATGCAAGAATTCGCATTTTCCTCTGCTGCCTGTCATTAGCTCTCAAGATGCTAATGCTTCCTCACAGACGCTCTGCTCCTGATGGGGAAAGTGTCAGCTAGAGAATGTGACTTTTGAATGTGACCATTTAGTTAGCCTCTTTCTGTCACCAGTGACTGAGGTCCTAGAGAGCTGGTGCGTATGCCCTTTGTCAGGTTTAACCATGCACTGCTATTTGACTATTTTTGATCTACAAAAAATGTCAGTTTTATTTGCTTCCCAATTCCTTGGGAAGATGTGAACCACCACAGAAGAAAGGGACTGGGACAAAGGGAATGACTTGAGGACTTTTGGTTCTCTCAGGAAGAAGCTTCATTCCTGTGACAGGCTTTTGGTTTAGAGATTAAGACTCTTCTTATGGGCCCCTCGTTGGGTCTGACCTTGGCTGTGCCTGAGAGGCCCAAGGGCACTGATAACAGCGCACGGTTGCCTTAATGGTGCAAACCACAAAAACATGTCCACATCCCTCTTTGGTCTCTATGTTGGAGGATCAGTGGTTTCCAACCTGGGCTCCATAGGCAGACTCAGATTCTTTCAGGGGACCCTGGGAGCGCAGGTGATGGGTGAGGATCCTGCTGCCTCTTCCTCCCCCACCGCCTGCCTCTTTAATGGCTCTGACCAAGTGTACAAAGCGAGCTTTCTCCTGGGATGACAAAAAGCAACAACAACAAACAAACGAGGTGATAGGAGCCACTGGGAAGGATCCTGAGGCTGCCTTTCAACAGAGCCCCCAGGAGACAGGCACCAGTGGGAGATGCAGGAGAACCCGTGTCCCCTTGGAGCCGAGGCTGCCTTCCAGCAAGGTCAACAACTCTTCCACAGGGTACTCGGGTCCACGGCCCGAGAAGCAGTGGTTGGCCTTGCAAGCAGCCGATGCTCGATTCCTGAGAACTCGCTTGTGTCTGTCTTTGTTTCCTTGCCTGGCAACGCTGAGATCCTAATGCCCGGGAGGCGGGGGGGGGGGGGGTTGGAATCTGGTTCTTACAGGACAGGACCAGCCCATGGGCCTGCGGGACCTGCAGAATGGGTCCTTCTCGAAGTCGTCACGATTTGGCTTTAACTAGAGTAACTTCAGAAACTAGTTTTGTCCATAAGAGGATGACTTTCTGAATTCTGACACTGAGTCTCCTGAATTATCATGCCATTACCAATGACAACTGCCTCTTGTTCCTTACCACACGTACCCAGCACATTTTCCATTTCAATGACAAGAACCCAACAGACAAGCAAAATATCATTTTTAGGTGTGCAGTGTATACTGTTTAACCAGGTGCAGGCAGAACCTGTTCTAGACTCATAAGGGGCGTGTGTGTTGGGTGTGGGGGATGGAGACTGAAATCAGCAGAGCTCGTTCATTTCAACAGGGTGAGCTGCTTAGTCTGTCATTAAGTTGGAACAATTAAGAATAAAAGGGCTTCGGTGGGGACGCATTTCAAATTCCATCCATGTACTTACGTGGCAGAGTACTCGAAGAGACCATAGTAGGGGTTGAACATTTCTTTGGACAGTAAGAAAAACCATTCTCTGGCCACGCCCCCATAGTCCAGGCCTTTCTCCGATTCAAACTCAATCCACAGTCTAGCTTTTAGGACATCTGGCCTTTTCACAGACATGATTCTCCGATAGGACTCTTCAAAAATGTTATTTCTGTGGAGTTTCATTTCAAACCTATTTGGAATATCAGCCTACACCAAAGACAAAAAAAAAAGCACACAATCACACAGTAAATACACATTCCACTTCAAAGAACAGAAAGGAGGGGAGTCTCCAAATGCACGAGCAGTGACGACTGGTTCCAGCGGAGCCTCCCTCCTTTGTGGGGTCGTCTTCACATGTGTGGGAAGGCCCACCGAACTCCGCTGAGCAGGGCACAGTCACCCTGTCCCCCTTTTATAAATAATCGTGGGTGCTCCATCCACCTACCAGCAACTGAAATATGGCCACCTCTATATTACTGCTTCTGTCAGAGAAAGTGACTTCCGTGCAGGTCCTCCAAAACCTCGACAGTCCCCACCTGGCCAAGAAGGGCAGCTCCTCAACTCTAGTGGGGGTTCCCACTGGTCCGTGAGGCCTGCAGGCTGATTCTGTTGCCGTGGGGAGTGGGACCCTGATTATCATGCCAAGTTGTGGGAAAGCATCCCGAAGGCCACAGGGAATCAATATGAAAACAAAGAGGCACTTGAAGAATTGTAACTGCCTCCTGGAAAAATGAGGGACGGGGCAGCTTTGACACGCAGATAGATTTGCAGAGTCAGCGAGGGCAAGTGCCGCACAGAATACGAGACTGGGTGAAGTCCACAGGGGCCTCTTATTCCTGGGGTTCTTGCAGGAGACTCACAAAGAAACTCTGTGGGGACTTTATGGGTTTGAATTTGAGTCATTCTGAAAGTAGTCATCGAGAGCTATCTGAATCAGGATGTTGGAAGACAGAACAGAACCCGACATGGGTGCCGCCAAGGAGGGGCCCACCTCTCGTGCATCTGTGCATCAGCAGCGCCCCATCCGCAGTGGAGCCCAGTGGGTGAGGCCCCGGCGGAGGGGACGGAGCCGGAGAGAGAGCAGCAGAGCACAGGCAAACTGGGAGATCAGGCTGGGGGACGACACTCTCCTTCCCCCAGTGGGAAAGCACCAACACAAAATACCCTCCAAGCCCCAAACAAACAGTGAATCTGCAAACTGAGGAGAAACCCGATAAAGTCAGTTTCTATGTCAGAGACATTAAGTCACTGAGGCATAATGTTGTAAAATCTGGGGTGAGCCAGTAGAAAATACTGTAATTTAAAACACTGCCTGGAAAATGTTAGAGGGTTAAGATTTGTGGAAATCTCATAGGTTTTCCCAGTGAGAATTCGAATCTGACAATTACACTTGGTCTTAATATGCCAAATACAGGGTCCAGCAGAAGTAACTCCTGCTTGAGTGTGGTTGGCGGAGTAATAATATGACTGTAATAATTTATGGTTTTAATTTGAATATTTCACCTAATATGTCACCTGGTGTGCTTGAGTGTGATATTGTTATGTTATAGAATTACATGCTTATGATTTTGTAATAAAAGGAAGGACATTATTTGTGCCGGGCCCTGCATTATATTATAAATTATATTGTTATAGATATTATGATTAAACTATACTTGTGAATTTAAATGAAAGGACTAGACCACTTTTCTAACTAGGATCTAGGTTTTATTAACTATAACCATAAGTAATTACATAAGCTTCTCCAAATTTTTTGTCTAGGTCCTGAATTAGTTTACTTCCCATTGAATCATTTCTATCTTTTTATGTATTACATAGGAAATTGCCCTCCAGGCAATTTGATATGCAATACTGGTTAATCTTCACTTACCATTTCTGTTAAAAAAAAAATCAGACTGCAGATCCGGATGGATCAAAATGCAGTGAAAAGAAGAAGGTAATATTTTTGTACACAAAGAAAAGGAACAAGTTTTTCTTGCTGAAGTGACTTGGGTAACTCACAGAGGACTAAAACAGCATTTTTTGGAAGCATGTTACTCACAGGTTTCTTTAATTTCTTCCTAAAGTAGTCATATTTCTGCTTAAATTCTCTGGAGTAAGGAACCGCCTAGAAGATAAATTTACAAATATAAACAATGTACACAACACACTTAGAATTTTATGTAAATTGAGTCAACAATTAGAAAATTTCATGAACCATAAACCTTAAAATTCTCATTCTCCATATTATATTGAAATTTACATGTCTGCATAGCACATGGAAAAATTCTAGACATGATTAATTTAAATCAGCATTGAACTGAAAGTTCTCAGGACTTTCAGCTCTGAAAACAACTAAATTGCTATTCAAGAAGTCATTTAGGGATATGCTACATAAAATACCCTTTCCAATACAACTTCTGGCTGAATATGAGTCAGGGTATACCCTCTCTCTCTTTTTTTTTTTTGCTGTCAGCTCTGATACTTTAAACACAACCCCAAAGTGACCTATGCTGTCATTTTGAAAAGACTGATCATGCTTTTAAAAATCTTTGGGAGGAAACATAATGAGCAGAAAGGCAACTGAACTGGTATTCTCATCAAGGACTGTAAGACCAGGTAGACGGCCCTCTGGAGAAGTGCCCCAGTTCAGGGGTCAGCTTTGCCCCTTACTGGTGAGCCAGCAGTGGTGGGTGAGGATCCCTAACCTTCATGCCTTGCCTCTGAGGCAAAGTGATGGCACCACGGGAGTGGGCTCAGGGACTGAGCGAACCACCACTCCTCACAAGTGCTGGAATCTCTTAGGCAAAGTAATAACACTTTAGTGCAGTCATTTAAATACTCTTTACTTGCTGTGTTATAAAACAGCTCACAATAGCCAGAGCCCTGACTTTGGTGTACTGAAAAGGCTTATATATATACATACATATATTATGGAGCAGAAAGGACTGGCTTTCGCATAGACATGGATATAACTGTAGCAGCCTCATACTCAGAATGACTCATTGCTTTTGGGCAAACAGTGTGCATTTGGGCAAGAATAGCTCTGCTGATATCTTTTTGGGCTAAGGTAACAAAATATACTGATCCTTAGCAAAGTGTCTCCAGACTCCAAACCTCATACCTTCACCTGGCTCATTCCTGAGCCGAAAGAGAAATGAAAAACATGAGCCTCCTTCCTTCATACTGCTTTTGAAACAATCACACAGATAACTGAGCCAACACAGAAACAACCACTCTCATAGCGAACAACGGTCATGTCAGTGTTTCACTTTGTAACTCAAGAGCAATAAAGGCGTGTATGTATCTATCTAAGGAAAATTGATACTACTTAGGGTTTTTCCTTGTTTTGAACCCACTCTTCATTCCCTGTTCTATTGTACCTCGGATTTGACCACATATCATATTTATTCTGGACAGTGCTTAGTCTGATGGAATCACGAGAGAATTCCTATTCTAGAACAGGTGGAAGTTTGGGCAGGATCTGAACCACCACCGGGATAAAGGGGACACTGTTCTGACTTAAGCCAATAAGAATATTCTCATGGCTTTTGCTCTACCCATACTATATCCGATAACAAACTGAGATTTTTTCTATCTAGTTTAGGGTATTCATTCTTTGGTGGTTCATCTACCAATTCTTTCAATAGGTATTTCTTGAGCACTTACTTTGTGCCAGACATTTTAGGCACAAGGGAAATAATGGCACACTAACCGAAGAGTTCTCTCCTGGAGCTTATAAACTATTGTGAGCAACAGGTAACAAGAACCAAAGGAATCAACAGTGGTAAGTGGGGAACAAGTGATCAAGTGTCCAGAGGGCTGTTTTATAGGAGCTAGTCAGGAAAGGGAAGGCGGGTGGCTCTGAGAAAGGGACCCCTGAGCAGGAACTAGTGACAGGAGGGAACATGTCCTGACAGGGACAGTGAGTACAAAGCCGTGAGAGGGCCAAGTCTTTGGTTGATGCTCTCAGCTGTGATTAACTGTGACAGAGGGGAATGGACCTAAAAAAATGTATTTCCTGGCATCACACCATGCCAGCTTTGGAAAAGCTGGCTTCTAGAACAGACTCTCGCGCCAGCCAGTTCTGGGACAACCTCTTCACAATGGATTTGACTAGATGAACTTTAAGGCACTGCCATTTCCAAAAACCTGATCCCCAGCGATTCTTTTTGTTTTCGTTCTCCCCTGAAAATGTTGAAAAGGGCTTAAACATTCATCCTTGTGAAGTTCAACAGTCTTACACGAAGACTTCCCCATGGGATACACTGCAGAATGCGCCCCCAGTGCACGACACCCACTCCCCGGTCTGACTTGTAACACGGCCGGTGCTGACTCCATGTGGGTGGAAATGGGAAGCCGGGATATTTTTGGCCTTTCTTCGGCTGTGGACTGAGGCAGGAATGTTGAAAAATCACGATCCTCCTCCAGTACCTCTCTCTTCCCTCTCGACGTAGTTCTTGTAATGGAATGAGAGTAGGTTGTATGTTCTCCTCCTGAGAAGATTCCAGCAACGCAACAGGACCGAGACACCCATAAGCGCAGCCTCTGAACAGAGTCACGGGTGTAGTGTTTTTCTTCTTTTGGCTGAATTACTTATTCTCCCTTGAAATTCTGGCATCCTATTTTCTTGAAATTTAATTTGTAAAATCGGCCTAAAAATTACATGTCTGTTGTTTTTAAAGCCCTTTTGCTCTGCCTTCCACGTGCCTTTTCTTTGGTGTAAAATGAAAACCTGACTTAGCATATGCCAGACAGGCCTGAATGTTTTCCGGTCGTTACTGTCCAGCTGATGCTGGAGCTCTTTGGAGAGAAGGGCTCCTGGCTGGCGTGGGGACATTGGTGTGGCTATGAGCACGCCTGGGGCTCTTGTCCCAATTCTGACATTGGCTGGAAGTTTTGGCGACAAAATTGGCTTTCCGATCTTCTGACAAATCGGGAATAATAACGTCTCCCCTCCCTTCCAGAGGGGACTGCTCAGCATGTCAAGGCAGCTGATTAGCAAGTTCTTCGACAAGTACAAAGTGTGACACAGCATGACAGTACTCGGAAGAGCAGCAAGCACGGGGAGCACTTTACAAAAGCTTTTCATGGTGACGTTTGTCACATGGACAGCATATTGACTTACAGCCACGCTGCGCTGGGCTGACACACAAAGGGTCCCCTCGCCCCTAATACATATTTTTAAAACTGGGGAAAAAGAGAAACTCTAGGTGCCAGATAAGCAGAAAGACTCAACATGGAGAAATAAGTGGGAGCTGGACCTAGACACAGGCGTGTGGCCCTGGGTTTTCATCCTCGCGCGGTTAAACATGCGCGGAACCTGGCCATCGGTCTGCGTGACCTCGGGAGCTGGAACAGAGTTCCCTGCTCAAAACTTACATCTGAAAGAGGGACTAGAAAACTCTACCCACTGGCCCAGGAAAGTTGCAAGGAAGCTTACCTTCTGTCCAGGACCATAAATGGAAGAAAAAGAAAAAGAAACAGACCTGTGATAAATTCATACTCCAAGGCTACACCAAAGTGGGTATGAAATCCACGGTTATGCTAAGTGGGGGGGAGTGAACCCAAGCTCAGTGGTTAGCAGTAAATACAGGTCAGAACTTACAAAAGCCCCATGGAAAAAACAATGAAGATGAGCACATACACGAATTACCAACTGAACTAGGCAACACGCTGCAACTGAGGAGGTTCTATAGACACAACAAGTGGAAATATTTTATATTCCTGGGACCAGATCTAATAATCCGAAAAAGGCTATGAAAGAGGCTATTTTAAGAATGATTAAAAAGCTGGAAATATACAGGACAGAAAACAGCTAAAAAGGAAAACACAGGACAGAAAATAGCTAAAAAGACCAAGCAAATTAAAAAAAAATTAAATAAAATCTGAGCAATTAAACAGTCGCTGAAATAACATAAAATAAACTGATAGAGATAGCTTATATAAAAAGCTTCAGAAAAAATTAACTGGAAGAGCTGAGCACACTATATACAGCCATGAAAGAGAGATGGAAATATGAAAGCTACGAGATAAGGAGGATAATTGTGGAAGTGAATCAATGACCCAAAAGTTACTAATTCAGGCATTTCAAAAGGATGGAAAAGGTACAACGTATGAAGGCTCAGACACAGCTGCGACTTTTCTAGACTGCAGAAAAGACATCTTAACATAATATCTTGAAGAATCACAATGAGTCCAAAGCAGAATAAAGTTTTTAAAATTCATCCACACTTAGGATACAGTAAAACTGCAGGATGTTGAAGACACAGAGAAAAATCCAAAACCACCAGTCAAAAGAGTTAGTTACCCATAAAAAAAAATAATTAGATTGCCAACAAACGTCTCATCATCGGTTAAGGAGACCAGAAGACTTGACAAAGAATATCCCCAAAGTACTTAAGAAACATGACTATCAACCAAGGATTCTATAATGAGCTAAACTACTGTTTCACAGAGAGGCCCGATGCGTCCTCTCGGACTCGGCTAGTTCACCACGCAGGCTCCCCCTGTCACCGCTGCTAGAATGGAGGTTTGCAAACTGGAGTGGCCGTCAGAAGCCCTGGGGGGACTGGAAAAAACACGGACTGCTGCGTCTCAGTTGGTCTGGGACGGGGCCCCACGTTGGCATTTGTAACAAGTTTGAGGGTGATAGTGATGCTCTTGATCTATAGTCATGCTTGGGAAACTATGAACTATGAACTAGAGGCTGTATGTCATTAAGAACAAAACTTAACCTGGAAAAAAATGCAAAATTGGTGGTGGGTAAAGACATCTGTTTGCATCTAAGTAAAATCAGGTAAGCACTGACTTTTTTTTTTTTTAAAAGATAAAATACTAATGATGATTTGGGAAGTTTAAAGACAAGGTGGTTTTAAAGGTAGTTTCCAGTGAACAACGGGAAACAGAAGTGAGAAGAATGGCACTAATGTTCCCTAAAGGGCTAAATGATCTGGGAGGAGAGTAGAGACTGATGAATTTTGACATTAGGTCAAGTACGTTGGTTAACCATTTGAATGTGAGCCCTAAGAGAATAGAAATAGAAAACACAACTTCCAAGCAAGCATAAAAAAATGAGAGAAAATAAATAGTACTCCATCAATCTAATAGGAGGTAGAAAAGAAAACAACACAGCAAGAGGCGGAAAGGAGAGCCTAGGCAAACGCCAACGAAGAGAAAATGAATGGAATGCTCAGAAAGCCAGCCACCGCGGGAGCCTCACACAGCCTCTCTGGGTGAGATGCAACAGACAGGGAAAACGTAGAGATGGAAATGGCTAATTTAAACACCAAAGACTTGATCTAATGGTATACATGTACGGAACCCTTTTATACCCAAGAAAGACAGAATACACATTCTTTTCAAATACCAAGGAACATTTACAAAAACTGGCAAAGCCTTCAAAGAAGTTTCAAATATCCGATAATCAACATTCCATATTCGATAGCCTCTGACCACAATGCAATAAAATTAGAAATCAATAAGAAGCAGGCAAAAATTCTCCCATAGTCTTAGAAACTAAAAAGCACATTGTAAATAACTTACAAACCAAGGAGAAAAAAAAATCACATGGAAGTTACCAAGTATGTGGAACTGAATGACAACAAAGACCAGATGTGCACACTAAGTTGACAATGACCTGAACACACACCCTCTTACTGAAGGAAATAACACTAATAATAAGAGTAAACAAGTTCTTTAAGAAAACAAAGAAATAGAGAACTCTCGTGGGGGCAAATCTCCCTGGATTTATGATGCTGAACAATTTTAAATAGTAATAAGACTACGTGCTTGAGTGAACGTAGATGATCAATAAACCATAAAAAAGATCTGAAAAAGACTGAGAAATATCACGTCAAAAGTCTTCTGCCAGTTGAACACAGCTTTGCTTCTTGCATTTATCTGTTTTTCATGATGGAGAAGAGAAAAATGTGATTCTAGCAACTTATTGTGATTGTGAATAAAAAAAAAAGCCATGGTAGGATGGCAGGTATTTATTAAGCTACACAGAGAAAAAGTAGCGGCCTGTGTTACCAGGGACTTGGTAAACTGTACCCAAGCAGCTGAACAAATTGAATAAAGAGACCCAACAGATATATAACTAGAGGGACATCAGGTATCAAGGTGCATTTGCATTATAATATTGTTTAAGTTTTCAAAGGGACTTACCTTTATAATTCAAAACATAGTTTGAACACACTCAGATTAAAGCCACGAAATTAGTATTTTAAATATACCTATTGACCTCTTAGCACTCAACACAATAAATTTAACTTCCTCATGCTCTTCCAGTTTTGACAAAGAATCCCAAATTTGCAATCTGTGGTCCCAGTACTTTTCCGGTAATTCCAAATCACCTCCCTGCACTGTTACAACCTCCGTAGGAGGCGCTCGTGCACACACCCTGCAGAGGAGACCCTCCCCATTCTACAGACTCCTCCCAGGGCGTGGACACCAAGTGTCTGTTACAACTCTATGAGCCGAGGTTCTCACTCTTCCTTACTCTTTCTTAAGAACAGTGTGCAGCAGCATTTTGAGAAGGCAGCGCCATACCTAACACAAAACTGGTTCTTTTCCCACCTGGCACACAGGAAGGGACTATGGGAAAGTGAGTGGGCCGGCGGAGACAGAGATTCTTATCTGCCTGCTCCAGAGGTTAGCAACAACCTCAACCAAACTTTCACAGATTCTCAGCGCTGGAAGAGAGTCACAATACAGCTTAGATTTGTTAGCATGCATGACCTGCCCTTGGCCTAAAGGAAGGACAAAATTCTGCAAATACAGGGCCGACTTTGCCTCATATAAAAAGGAAGAGAGGACAATTGGATTGTTACACTTACATGCTGCTTTTTCATAATGGAGAAAAGAAAATGTTCAGTTTCGCTACCATCATCACACCACTTTTCCTTTGTGCCAAAAAGCCATGTAAAAAGGCAAATGCACCTGTACCTCACCCAGAATCTTGTCACCCGTAAGTTCTCATAAGGAGGAGATGGGTGTAATGCTAAACTACTCAGTTACACCAAGTTGTGCAGGAATATGCAAGAAATGCGTGTTTTGATGCAACCAAAACATGACACTGAACATTCAGAACTTGAGAATACTGACCGGGCCGGTAATAGCTGGGTTCTGTAATCTTGGGTCTTCCCACTGAGTTATTTTGCTATCTGAAAATGAATGTTAAAAGAAAATGAGCATATTAGTTAAAATCTATTTTGTCAAAAATCTTCTAGAAATAATTATTTCTGGGTTTTCCAAAGCTGTCTAGTCCCCCAACCTAGCCCTCAAAGATAGTAACTTAGTATTTCAGGGTTAGAAGAGAACAGTTCTCTCTAGGGCAAACCTCCTGTTTAGTTAGACACTCCATCAAAAATGCACAACTAAGGTACAACCATCTATTTACGCTGCTTTTAGCAAGCAATCTGCTGCAATTTTGATTATAAACCCCAGTTCTTTCAAGGATTTATAACTTGATCTTGATTTTCATTTAATTGGAAAGAAAGGCACAAAAAGTCTTAGTCTACCAAAAGTTAACGAACACGCATGATATTTTTCTCATTTCAAATACTTTTGCCTGTGCTCATGATCTTGAGAAACAGCTCTCCATTAAGAAGCCTGCACTGAACAAATGAATAATCCACAACATGTGTCACTGGTAGGGCACACAACAGTTGAAGCAGCTAGTCAGCAAGGCAGTCCAAAAAATGAGAATTTGAGAGTGCCAGAAAGGAGCCCAGAGCAAGACCTCCCTGTTGGCTGAGTTGGCGAGAAGTGGTTTCCTTTCTTCCCAGAGTCAACATGAGCAAGATTGTTCAATGCCACCTACACAGCTAGCTACCCAGCAGCTACCCTCGATCACATGGGATTTGTGATTGTGCATAATTAAAGAGGATCACTGTGTGTGTGTGTGTGTGTGTGTGTGCGTGTGTGTGTGTGCGGTGGAGGCAGGGGTGAACTCGCATGAAAGACGATGGGGAGGGACAGAGTGGGGAGAATGAGTTCTCTCTGGAGTTTCAGGAAATCTAAGTTGGCTTAAAAACATGGGCAACTATTTGTTTGAGATTGATTCTAATTATTTCCTGTAAATTCTGTTAGTGAATGGGTAAGAATAACTCCTAAGTTTGGTTTTAATGGCCATACCAGGGATTTTTCAGAGTCTGGTATTGTAATTATTTTAATAACAGCAGAAGCAAAGTTTTAAAATAAAGTTATGAAAGCACATAATGATTCTAGATTTGTGTGTGTTGGAAGAGAATATACACGAAGTGTTTTAACCATTCTGGAGCACCTTACTGGAAGCAAAAGGCATTTTGGGGTCCCTTACACTTTGAAAACAGAAGACTTGGGAAAGTACAGGTTGCTACTGTGATGGAGAACCATAGGAAAGAAAACGAAATGATGGAAAAGATGGAGCTGAGTAGAAACTGCCTTGGACTGTAACCGTAAGGACTGGGTATTGTCATCAAAGTGAAAAATGAATGAATGACCACTATAGGACAAATCCTAAATTTTCAGTCCAGAGCGGAGCTTCAAGCTCCACCCTGGACATTTGTACTGGGATGTCCTATAGGTGTCTTCAACCCAACTCTACCAAAACAGAACCTATTCTCCAAACCCACACTGTTCGTGTCATCCTGTATCTGGTTAATAATGTTACAACCCATTCACTGTTCAAATCCAGAACCTGGACACACCCTTTCTCCTCCCTCGCCATTCACCTCTGCTGGTCACCAAGCCATCCCTGCCTCCCTCCCACCAGGCTTCTTTCCGGGAGCTCATCTTTCCCCTGGACCCTCCTCTAGGCTTCCCTGGCCTCGGTTTCCTCCCTGCTCAGGACTCCCACAATAGCTCTGCCACAAGGGCCTTTCTAAAGAACAAACCTCCTGTCACTTCCTCTGGGAAATCCCTCAGGGGTTCCCTCCTGCCTGCAGAAGGGCTCGAGTCCCCACACTTGGCAGACCCCCTTTGACCTGACCTGTGCACCACGCCCGCCTCATCTGCGCACAGGCCACGGGCAACCCTGCCCCATCTCTCCGAATGCTGGCACCACCTGCACCTGCACGTGTCTTCTCCCCGAGGGAAGCACTTTTCACTGCACGTGCCTGACTAGTCTGACTCATCATTGGGATCTGCCTGAAGAGTAACCCATTCAATGCATAAGGTCCTCCTGCAGCCCCCTGCCCTGCCTCAGCCCACCACCAGCGTCCAGCCACTTCACGAGCAGGTGCACCCTGCCTCTTCTGCTTCTACAGTAACAAGAGGCTCTCTGCTCTAATACAACCCTTACAGCACTCCCTGGTCCTCTGTGCTCTAGAGAAGGCAAGCCCCTCAGGGAAGGGGCTGTATCATTCCTCCCTGCAGCCTCCTCCTCTCCAGCATGTAACACATTTTCTAGCACGCAACAGGAGCCTAATATGTTATTTTCTTAATGACCAGATGAAGCTGATGGTAAAAACAAAGTTCCTTTAAAATTGTCTGAGCTTCCAGAACCATACAAGTTTCTGCATGGTTATAATAAAAGTTAATTTTGCAGTTAAGTACTGTCAATATATGCATGTATGGTGACAAGTTACCCATACCCCCCCTAGAATTTTGTAATCTAAATTTGTGTTGTGTCTTCAAGGCATTTTTCAACTAAAGGGACAAGAATGAAGTAAGAGAATGAGAAAATCAGTCAACTTAGCTACTGTTAACTGGTTTGGTAAGGAATCGACTAAAACAGGATTTACAGCATCAGTGGAAACTAATTTTCTCTCCTAGCTTCGTGTACCAGACACCTGTGGCCAATTCTCAGCTGTGGGGCATATCTGGTTTTTAAGAAGAATGACACAATTCCTCAGAGAAGGAGAAATTCAGGTCAAGATCTTCCCTTAACCTTCTGTACCAGTCTTGAGACATACGAGCTATTTGATATATGTCAACGAAATGAATCAAGGCACCTAAAGAGATTAGTACTGAGCATGCTCTCTTCTGAAATTATATCTTTTAGACAGTTGAAATTATTGATCTTGAAAATGTCTAACTTCTCAAGGATTTACAAAGTAAATAACCTAATTATTTCAAAGAGACGTGCACTGCTGTCTTTGTCCCTCAGAGTGCAGTCACCTGTCCCAGCGATGCTGGAAGACAGGATGACTCTGAATGACCCTCAAGAAGACTGCTTGCACAGTGAAACGGCATAGGAAGGATGACCTGGTTTCTGTTCTGTGGCAGCAAAATGAGATGCTGAATTTTGCTAGAAATCAGATGTGGGAAAACTGTTTGGAAACGGAGGTTCATTTGGAAGGTGGAGAGATTCCTAAACGTCACCACCGGGTAATTCAACCCATTTTGCTGTGTCCCTATCGGTCTGAAAAAACCTCTTAAAAAGAGAGGTATTCTGCACTTTTCATAAACTGGATTTTGGGGAACAGACATATGAACTGAACTCAAGTTCACTGACAGGTACCCCGTTATCACCTCCCACTGACTAAACCTTGACCAATTAGGAGAAATGGCAGACACGTTGTATTAACAGCTACTGGCTAATGAGGTTCTCACACTCAGATCTTTCTCTTACACCATTTCTGGTCCAATTTATACTGTTTGGTGAAGAGAACCTTTCGGTATGGGTGTGCAAAGGCGAGTCTTACTCTCGGAAGGAGGAGCCCCGTGGACTCTCTGTTCTAGCAGGAGAAATTAGGAATACCGTGCTTGGAGGGCGGGCGGACTCATTAGGATGAAGGACCTGCCCTCTCTGCCTCTCAGGCTGCAGGTGCTGCTGTTTCTCAGGGTAAATTCTTTTCCACTTTCTGACCAAGGACTTGAACTTCCTAACAATGTCACCACGGGCCTTCCATGAACCCACTTCAAGTCACCACTTCCCAAAACATCTACTACATGTTGTCTTAGTTCTATGCACGCCCCTAGAAACACAGCCTATGATTTATTATTTATAACATACACTAGGATGGCTGTTTGCAATAGTGTTGCCCTTGTCTTCGGGTGCTCGCAATACCTCAGGGACATTTCTAAAGTTTTTTTCAGGTTGATCCAGAGATCACCAGCCAGGACACGGCCACAGTGGTGTGTGAAATGCTCTGTGGGTGTAGCAGGTCAAGGTTGCATTACTGGGTAAGACCTTGTTTTAATAAAATCGTTATTCTTTGTACCTATCTTTGCAAACCAAAATTGTAAGGTACAAAAACACTAAAAAAGGAAAAAAAAACAAAGACAAACACCTGTTTTTTGTTTTTAATTGGCAAAAGAAATAGAAACCTCCCACTCCTTTAGCAAATTATGGTAAGAAAATGATAAATAGCACATTAAGGAAACACACCTATTTTAAAGCACCAATGGTGGCAATTTTATGCTCAGTGTAAAATTCTGTACAGCAGGTAAACAGTACTTTTACTGGTTGAAGACAAAAACGAGGCCTCTGTACCTTGACATAATCTAATTTAAACCAAAGGGTAGCCTGTACCCCTAAATACCCTGAGCACTTTTACTTTTGGCTTAATTCTGAATTGTTGGGCTTCTCACTTAATTCAATTCATAATAACCCCGCAGCCCCCATGCCAGAAAATGAAGGTGTGTCTACAATGCACTTGACTGCTTAGTAACACCTGGCAGAGGCACTAAGCCGGAGAGAGTGACAAGCCCCATCCTTGAGGCTGGACTGCCCAGAAATTGGCTCATCGGTGTGATCAGCTGATCAACGTGATGAGTCAGGACAACGTGAGGCTGGGGAAACCCGGGACTGGACAACAACACAGAGCAGAAGACGACCAACCTGCACGTGTGATTTGATTTGAACTTTAAACCTATTCAAAGACTTCTTTTCAAGATACATTTTCAGAGGTTGTAAGGTATATATAAATATGGAGCATGTGTCACTTCCAGAAAGGACAATAAACCGCTGGCTAAAAGCAAACCTTTATTAGTTTAACTTTTAGTTGAAATGAGAAACCACACATTTTTTCATAGGTGCCGGAGCAAATGTCTACAGCAAATATACTGCAATTTCGAGAAAAGGACTGCATATATATTAGTGTGCTGGGTGCAAGGAAACATGCTATGAATAGAAAATAAGTCAGAATGGGCACCTCGCCCTGACACCCGCAGAGGCAGCGTTTCAAACACCCATGTGCTGCGTCGAGCGTTGCGCACGCACAGATTTTGGGCTCTGTCGTCACTTCTAATCTTATTTTCTATTACCAGAGTGTATTTATTAAAAGCACAAAGGTCAAGGGGGTCATCAACCAAAAAAGAGTTCTTAAATTTTTTAAAAAGTTAATAGGTCGCAAGATCAAATTGGGTGAAAGCTCAACGGGCTATTTTACAGCAAACTCAGGGGGGAAGCACAGTACCGTGCGAGGGCCCTGATTCTCTGGTACCACTCTGTCCACATAACACCTGGCTGCCTAGACAAAGAGTAAACAACAAAGCTTTCACTCTCACATTTGAAACAGCCCCCCCTCCCTTTACCTGCAATCCCTGTGTGTCCATACCGGCGCCTACTTACTGTGGTCAATATAAAACGTTCGGCCATCCACGTGGATTCTTTCTTCCCAACCAGGCTGGTGTCAGGGAGAAAGACAGAGAATACAAACAATGAGTGAGCTGGGCCAAAATCAAAGGCAAAATCAGACACTCTAGGACCCCTTTCTTCCTCTTCCCCGTCGGGTACATTCTGACGTGAGGAATGAACTGCAAGCATTTCAAGGTAGCCCTTGACAGCATCTGGGAACACACTTGAATCACTGGTTCCACGATCTCAGGTGCATTCACCACGCGAACAGGAAATAGGGGTTGCTATTTCACAGGGCAAGTTCAGCATACCATGGAACAGTTGTGCTGGGGGTTGAATACCTCACTGAATTAGATATTTTCTGAGTACCAAAGGGAGGGCGAGGAAAACATGAAAATGTCAGAGCCAGCTGCTTCCTTCGCATCATCGCGGGTTGAGGAATCTAAACCTGCGCACTCCTCTGTGGTGCGTGCTCCCCGTTCAAACTCGGGAACCAAAGAGACCTGGGTAATTTTCTTCAAGAGAGGGCTGATACGCCCTTGTTATCTGAACTGTGCCTACCTGCTGTTTGAAACTCAGACACCTACCAGGTTAACTCCCTTTCAAAACTCACTCTCCAGACACGTTCTGGACTCTTTTCTTCTAAGCCCAGGAACCAAGCAGATTTGGAGAGCAAGGGATGTTTGTAAAACCTAATAACTAAAGATGGAATCCTAACCCTCCTAGCCTCAAATTTTGCCATAATACACTACACACCAGGCAACGGAAAAGGTTCTTAGGCTTGGAAAAAAACAACCAAAAATTTCCAGTGCCTGTCCACTTAAAAATAGTCTTATAGTTCTACCCCTCCCTTCCCCCCTCCCCCATAATGCTTTTCTTTTAATGGGGGCAGGTGGAGGAGGGTGTATGGTGAAAATTTCATTCAAAATCCAATTTGGAGTAAATAGCTCAATCCCACTCTGGCTCCCAAAGAGAATAAATTGATTTAAAAATTAGATTAATAAGCTGTCATCAACCAGGAAGGAAAACTGACAATATCTGGCAGGCTGAATGACTTACATAAACCTTCTGTGGTTACCTATGCTTTTTCGCCCACCATTTCTAATATTTTTGTTCCTGATGACCAAATCAGCATTGTGGGGGGAACTCAGTGGTTGCTACATTACAAAATAAGCGTGTGCTGCTTAACCGGTCACCTGCAAAGAGTGCCTCTCACGTCCTGGTTACAGGGCCTACCTACTACCAGCAGCGGGCAATGCAGACGCCTCCTTCATACGTACCGGCTGTTGAATGCATTGCATGTACTAAAATTCAGTCATACACCCACGTCTATGAAGAAATTACAGACCGATGGGGCCCCCAAAGTCTAGAGAAATTGTCATAGGGCCTCTCCATCAATACTGGGCAGAGGAATGAATGAACATTTTCAGACTTGTCCAGGTGTCTCCAGTGTACTCACAGGAAGAGGGCCAAGGTCATTGGGGTTTAAAGGTGCCTTTGATCGCATGTGTACTGGAAATTTCAGGCGTGGATCTTCCTGCAAGAAAAATGTAAAAGGCAGAAGGTGTTAGGAGTGACCGACTGTGGGCTGTTACTGGCTCCTCCCCTTTGGGAGCTGCGTGCTCCAAGGCAGCCAGGGTGCGTGTGCGTGGAGCCAGGCTCCTGCATGTACAGGGGGACGGGAGGGTCCCATCTTTGAACAGGAGGCCTGGCTGACCATCTCTCAAAAAAGGGTCCACTCCTTGTCCTTGGTGAAAGAAGGAGAGTAAGACTACTTAAATAAAAGGTTAATCGTTTTCCCGAGTTGGTGAAGGTGAAGAGGAAAAGGGTTCTAGCAGTACTGTCACTATGGAAACCGAATAAAGGGATCCCGCCAAGAGGAGGCTGTATTCCACAGAAGAGGGAGTGAAGCCCTAGCGTGTAAACCTCCCACTGGATCTGGAGCTCTGGGGCGGGGCAGCTGGCCTAACAGTTCGGAAGAGCCTTTCCATCAGCACTTGAGTTCCTTGTTCCTCCCTTCCACTCTCTCCTGAACAGAAGCAGAGAATCTGAGTCTGGCTTGATTGGCAAGCCACGTGCCATTCCAGAGAGAGTTTGCTTCTTCACACAGTCTCATCCCTACTTTACAGCTTGACTGAGATTCTCGAGTTCTGCAGATTAGATTCTCATGTATATCTTAATACTTAAAAGTTGGCCAAAGATTTTTCTTAAGGGATTTGCTTCTAAAGATGCCACAGAGAACCAACAAAAGAGAAATATGTAGTCTGACATCTGCGGTCATGCTTTCTAATCGACAAAGCACAGTCAGACATAATGATCTTGCAACCTTGCTGTTAGGGGTTGGGTACACGATCTTGGTTTCTTGAGATGAGGGAACAGAGTTTCAGGAAGAATGAGAACTCGCCCAGAGGTCCTGACCCACAGTCTTGGGGGCTGCCTCTCACTGATACGGACCCAGTGGAAATGCAAGGTAACTCAGAGCGTGCACATTTTAAACTCAAAAGGTTAGAAAACAAGTGATAAAACTCAGAATAATAAAACGTCCATCAAATAAGCCTAAAAGAAAAAAATACTTAAAAAAATAACCCTTTATTTCAATTACAGCCCTTATTACTATCAAACGAGTAAAAGATTTCCTGCCTTGGCATTTTCCCAAGTTGACCAGAAAATGAAATAATTAGTACAGACCTTGAAAAATAATAAAATTTACTCTGCAACCACTAATGGGAAAGGGGGTTCCCATTATACAATCAATCACCAAAATTGATGATTGATTGTATAATTGATTGTAAATTAATGATTGATTGATGGCTGCTCATTTTTGTTCACTGTCAAAAACCATTCAATTGTCTATTTTCAATTGGCGAACTGTTTGGTATGTGAATCATATTTCAATGAAGCTGTAAGAAGTTATTTTTTCCAAGTCAACAGTTTAAACCATTAGTATTACTAGTTTAAAACAAAGTGACAAATTTTTTGAAATTGGCAAAAATTTAAAAATCACAAAAAAATTAACTTTTGCTTTCTGTTAGCTATAGCAATCTTTTAATTGGCAGAATTAATCATGTTAGTGGTTTGTGATTGATATTGACCCTAAACCTCACTCACATGCTTTTAAAAAATGATAAGGCATAAAATAGGTCCAGTATTCTGTAGTATATTGGAACACATACAGTGTCATCAGACGTATTAAACAGATTTAGGATTTAGAAAGTTTGAACAGCTGGTATTCTGAGAAACATTTGTGATGGGTTCATTGTGATAGAGGAAAAATTTACGAGCACAGAAATCTACAAAAGCTACCCACTCACGGCAGATTCTGAGCTGGGCCGGAGTCACAACCACAGGGGGCGCTGTGGAGCACAGCCCCTGACTACGCAGGTGTGGGGAAAGCCCGAGGCCACTATGACACGAAAGAGCACAGGGGCTTCCGATGCCACGGGCAAGGCCAGCCATGTCTTGGAATCACACATAGAAGCTACTATGAAAGACAACCAGCTACTTTGGTGAACAGCTGGTGACTTAAAAGGGGAGAAGACCCTAAAATTGAAGTAGCAGTGAATAGAGGCTGAGGGTGAAAAGATCCTAAAGCAGAACATAAGCCCGGTTTCACAGGTCTGCTATGATGGCCTTGCATGCAAACCCAGCATTTACAGAATGTGAGGGTGACCGGGCCCTAGGACGCGTGTCACTTTATTATACCAACAAAAATAAAATAATAGCAGCAGCTGCAACCTCTGTCTCTGAAGTTTAAGTGTAGGGACACACAGAAGTCCCTTGCCCCCCTGAACGACCGAGGAAGCTGGCACCCCCACGCTGATGGCACAGGTGGAGGGTAGCCAAGGCCCCAACCTTAGGGATGCCAAGAGTTGGAACACTAGTGAGGTCTCCAATGATGTGACTGTAAATGAATAAAATATGAAGAAGCCCATTTCCCCATTTCTCCCTTTCCTTAGCACAGTTAAGAACACTCACTATTTCACAATTATTCCAATATTTCCCAACTACTTCCCTCTATACAGTTGAAAGAGGTTTAAACAGAATGCAAAGAGCAACATCTTTTTAAAAACCAAAAAGGGTTCCCAGCAGAGTCACCACACACCCACACACACCCACACACACCCACACACACCCACACGTAGATAACACAGGAATGCTCTCTGGTCAGAAAAACAGCTTTCCCCCTCCATCCTGGGAGAGATCAACGGTCACGTCCAGGCTACCAGGAGTTCATCAGTTTGGATCCGGTGGAGGACAGACCTGAAACTTCACTAAGGCATACTCTTCCTTGCTGCAAAAACAAGCCAAAGCTTTGTCCAGTAGAAGACACAAACATACTCTTACATACACGCTTAGCAGGCAGAATGGACAAACCGAAGGCCTCCTGTCATCTTTCCTCTGTCACCTGGTGACCTCCAGCAGGCATCTGTGGCCTGCCCCAGGTGGGGACCGATGAACTAGTTGCTGGAAGTCAGGCCGCAGAGAATCTTCACATGGACAGGGCCTGTCAGTAGCTCACAGGCCTGGGTTCTCTCCCCGGTGGTACTAGGGGACAGAGCACAGTGCACAGACCCTCGCCGGCAGGCACGGGGTCTCCGATGTTATTCCAGATGGACGCTGCTTTCCTATCAGGTCGTGCTTTAGAAATGGACTTCAGGGGAACCAAACAGGGGAGCCGCTGCCCTGCTTCTTTGCATGCTGTGGCTTAGTGCGGGGCCCAGAGCTCACAGGCTGGTGAGGACGGAGCACTGTTTTCATTAATCCCCTTCCTTGCCACCAGCCTTTCTTCCTCGTCCACTATAAGGCTCAAACCGAAGAAAAGCGATGCTGGCCTCTCATTTGTTCTCTTTTAAAAAATGAAACAAAGCCCAAACCAACTCAAAATAGATTTTAAGCTGAACAGTATCTTTATAGTTCCCTCTATCCCTCCATCTTTTGTCCAAATCAACAGGCAATTCAGAGCCTGCCTTTGACAGTAAGAATTCTATACAGGCCTTTGTGTAGAAGGAGAGACAGCAGCTGGCCCAGCCTGATTAAGAGTCTGATTAAGAAGGGGAGTAACCGGGGGAATTTCCAGTTGTCACCTTAAGGGTTTTCAACACTGGCAGCAGCAACGAAATGTTGTTTTAACAAATTACAATTTTAAATCAGTAAATCAGTCAATAACAAGCATCTGGGTAGAAAGGGACAACTGGAAATTCAACCTGGGTTTCATTCAGCTGCAGTGCAGGCAATGAAGCACACTAGTGCTGTTCAGCTGCAGTTACTCTGCAGTTGTGGCGTGGAAGGCCGTGAAAGGTTAGGGGAATCTGATTACTAAGCTGGTTCCAATGACTAAAATCATAGCTTATGTTGGCAAGCCACAGTGGCTCCATACACTAATCCATCTACTTTGATACTATTTACCCCCTATTTCTGGAGCTCCCATTCTGGCTGCGGATTTGTGGAAATGGGCACTCTAGCGGGACAGCCACGCATTCTACGTCAATGAGGAAAAAAGGACTTAAAAATCAATCTTGCCCTGGCTGGGTGGCTCAGCTGGTTGGAGCATCATCCCATACACCAGAAGGTTATGGGTTTGATTCCCAGTCAGGGCACATACCTGGGCTGTGGGTTTGATCCCTGACTGGGGTGCATCTGGGGGGCAACCAATTGATGTTTCTCTCTCTCTTTCTCTCCCCTTCTCTCTAAAATCAGTAAAAGCAACAAAAGAATATATCCTTGATTTAAAAGGATTCTTGCAAGAATTAAAACAAGACAAAACAAAACAATTTCCCTCAGCATGTTTTCCCCAAAGCTGCCTGCCTCTTACTCTCATCTTGGCTACATACCTGTCATTTTGTTTTCACAAAGGTGAGTCAAATGAAGCCAGGTGTCATTATATGCCTTAGAGGTAGTTATGAGTTGAATGAATGTCACCAGGATCTAAATGATAAATTCTCTTGGCAGGCAATTACTTTACTTTAAAATAAAATAGGGACTTTTAGATCGGTTCTCACTACGGGGTGTCTGACAATGTGTGATAACATTTTTGGTTATCATCACTATGGGGGGAGAGGCTGAGAAATGGTGGTTATTCAGTGGCGAGAACCAAGGATGTTAGGTGTCCTGCAATAAGGCACGGTCACAGTCCCGCCCCAAATGCCGAGAATGTCCTCATGGTGACATGTTATATCATGATCCATCCATAGGGTTTGAGAGAGAGAGAGAGAGAGAGAGAGAGAGAGAGAGCCATCTGGGCCATCTAGTCCAAGTCTCAAAGAACTGAGTAGCATCACACCCTAGACAAGTATAAAGGACAGCCCAGGCTGTTTCGGTCCAGGCCTCTCATTAACACCGTACTGCTGTTTTGTCAGCTGGACACACTCCAAGTCTTTGCTAGAAGTGGGAGTCGAAAGCATGTGTTCACTGCTGGTCCAAGACCAGAGAGCTAGGGGCCAAGGGCAATGCCAGCACTCCGCCAGCTTTCCCATCCCATCGGTGCTGAGCAAGCAGCAGAGATGCTAGAAGGACTGAGTTAAACTGTGTACCCAGACCATTGGTTGAGGACATAAGGGACAGGAAGAAAAACAACCCCCCTGCAGCATCAGAAATGGCCAGAAACGAGAGAACCAACTGTAGTTCAATCATAGGCCTGTGGGTGATACTATAGGAAAGAACCACTGACCTTTAAAAAAACCAACTAGGTGCGACATTACATAAGCTACCACTGATTCAGCTACAAAGTGAACTTACAGGGGAATATAAAAATACGTTCATTCACTTAAAAAAAAAGATTTTTATTTATTTTTTAGATGGGAAGGAAGGGAGAAAGACAGGGAGAGAAACATCAGTGTGTGGTTGCCTCTCACATGCCCCCTAATGGGGACCTGGCCTGCAACCCAGGCATGTGCCCTGACTGGGAATTGGACCCATTGCTTTGCAGGCCAGCACTCAGTCCACTGAGCCACACCAGGCAGGGCGGTCCATTCACTTTTAATGAATCCCATCTCGTCCAAGTTAATACGACACAGAGGTTCTTTCTAATGTACAACCCAGAAGCCCGGGGAAGGGCAGTGTGAGAAGAAAAGTCAAGTTTGACAAAACGCTCACAAAAAAGAGCTAAAGTTTCCAAGCAAAGCCTTTCAGTACATCTCCTCCTCCCCAGCTGAAGGTGTGAAATGCAGCACAGACGTGTGAAATACTAATCTGAGGTGAACGGTACAAACTGAAGGGCCAAATCAAACAAAGACGGGCCATGTTAGTAAAAATGCAAAAAGAAATTGGCAAAGAAACATTATTTTTCAAAAGACTGGAATTCCTAGTACACTATCATGAGACATGAAACAAAACCTCAACATCTCAGCAATATGGAACACTTCTTTTTCCCCTACCCAGTACGATAAGCTGTCAAAACGCAAGCTTTCCAGGAGTGCTACGGGGAAAAGGCAGCCAACCCGGGGCCCCACGCTGGCCCTTGCCCGGCGCCTGCACGTCCCCCGCTCCCACCAGCCCACACGCGCAGAATCCTGACGCAAGCTGAGCTAACCCTCCGCAGATGAGCTTTGGTGTCGGTGACATTTCTCTATGAGAACCACGAGCACGGAGTGAGGACACAAAGGAGTCAAGGCCTGACCTCAGGATGGAAAGGGGGCTGGACGGACGCAGCAACCTTACCCATGTCGTAGTCTTTGTGTTATGGTCAATGAAGAAGGGCCGGCCGTTCGGCGCAATCCTCATCTCCCAGCCGGGGGGCAGGAAGCTCTGTGTGACTTTGTGTTGTGGTTTGGGGGAGTTGTAAGGAGATGGCTGTGGGGACTGTGGATTGGAAAGGGTATCTTTCACAGCCCGGCGGATGGGAGAGTCCTTGGCACCCTGAGGAATAATAAGGAGTATTAGAACGCTTCGTGTGGCGCTGAGGCGGATGTGTCACCATGTCCCTGGGCATCGAGGATGCTCTTTTGGGAGACGGACAAGGGAACAGCTGCTAGAAAACCTGTTTCTGTCACTTACTTACTTTTAAATCACTCTAACTTCAGACTCTTTCTGCTGGTTAACACATGACATTAATTACTTTAAACCACCATCCTTTGATAGTTCCTGGATATATAATAAAAATAGTGTTCTCTGCTGGGGATTATGGATGCAGATTTTACAGAGGGTGGCGAACAACAGGCCTCTGCTCTTAATGAGCTCACACTCCCGTGAAGAATGGGTGGGTAATTTGCAGAGCACAAAAAGAAACCCCTGTATCCTCAAAGACAACCACCCATGACATTTCTGTCACAGTTGGGAAGAGGGCTAGCATCCACTCCCTTTTATCAGCAACTCAAGCCCAGGGCACAGAGAATCCCGCTGCTATCTCTAGGACTCGGTCAAGTTTAGAACTTGAATGTTTACGCTCCAGCTTCTCTAAGTTTCTGCCATGGTGATGTTAAGAGATGGCACTGAAACCACACAGACAGGAGAGCACACGCAGATGCCCGGCAATGACCTAGAGACGCAGATGTGCACCCACGCAATGACAGACCCTCCAGTCGAAAGGAAAAGAAATGATCAAAGCCACAGCTATGATTTAAAACTCAATATAAACGTTGGTACTTGAAAGAGTTATTATGCATGTCTAATGAAGTAATGAGCAAGAAGGAGCGAAACACAACATGAATGGAGGAAGCTCTGAAAAGAGGGGCCCACACGTCCAGCATGAGCCACCACGGCCGAGGCCAGGTGAGAATGAGAATCAGGTGGGGGCCCAGGGGCTGCGAACTGGGCGGAACAGAGAAGCATGCAGTCACGCGGCACGAGAACGCCCTCCACCACAAACACATCGAATGATCAGAGAGGAAGGTGGCTGCAGAACTGAAGTTCAAGTGAGGAGAGAAGAGAGAATGAGAAGTCACAGGATAGACGTGGCCCCAGTTGGATGAGTGGCCTGCTCACCTCCAGCGGGGCAGATAAAGTTACTGTTGGCGAACTGAGGCTACGAGGCCGGCGGATCTGAGGCTCGATTAGGTGGTTGTTACTGTTGGTGGATCCAGAGGCGCCATCTTCTGCGAGCTACGTTGGAGGCAAAAACAAGTTAGCTTCACACAAGGATCTCTGTGTGTGTGTGTGTGTGTGCGCGCATGGGCGCTTGGGAGTGTGGCCCCAAACAACAGCATGGCCAGCAGTAATGAGAGGTCTGGCCTATTAAAAGCATGGAGGAAATGATTAAGCATAATAATGGGGGAGGGGGGTGAGGAAGCATTCAAGGGAAATAAAAATGAATCACTAGCCCATGAAAATGAGCCTCGGGGGGGAAAAAGGGGGAGGGGTGGGAGGGATGCTACACATTGTCATAAGCTCTGACTTTGAAAACACCTTTCACGTGACATTTAAAAATAAATACCTAGGAACAGACTGACATGGGGATCACATTCTTCCTTAGGCATATGCTACACTTAAAATAAGGCATTTTCTCTGTGGGGAAAAACATTTCTAGCACACGGGTTCTCAGGACAATACATCAACGTCGGCAGCCGGGAGCCCGTGTACACGTCGGCCCCGACTGCCCGCAAGTGTAAGCAGTCCGGCGATCTGCATACCTGCATGATGGGCCGCGTCCAGGTTGTGGTTCGATTGTTATGATTGACATAGTATGTGCGTCCCTTAGCATCTTTCCTCTCCTCCCAGCCTGAAGGCAGGCCCGGCGTGGTATGTACATAGGCCACTGATGGCTGTTTGTGTAAGAAAGCATCATTATTTCATGCATTTGCTTTCTGATCAGTTTCATCAAGTAATGTACACCCGGAGAACTACTTTTTTTTCCCTACGCAAAGTAAGTTCATTTTACGGGTACCCAAAACATGAATGTCTGGAAACCAACAGTGGATTTCTAGTACCTTCCAATCTACCCAGTGTACTCTGACCTGAACCCTACAGGGTCCAAAACCTTACAGCACTCAGTTCTAATGCCATTAAGTCTTAAATATAAAGGTTGTTGCTCATGAGACAAGGAATGAGAAAAGTACAATCCATTTTAGATACTACATTTTACTCTCAGGCTATGTCGAGCTTAAAGGTGTTTCAAATGGTCAAACGCCACTCTGTGAAGGAGTGAGTGCTCTGAACGTTCTTCCCCCAGTACAGCTGCCGCAGGGACGCTCTCCTAGCTTACTCCTGAAATCTTCGTCAGCTTATGGCCTTTGCATTATGTCTTTTACGGGAAGTCTGCATTCATACCAGAGGCCTATAATCAAGAGGACCGATCAGGACATCCCAACTGGCCCAGCTCAGGAAGCCACCTGGCAACGTGAGGTCAGAATTCCAAAAAGCCTGAGAACTGAGGCTGTATCTATCCTGTCTGTGCAAGTGGAGTCTGTCTCTTTAAAGAGTAAAGGAAGCACAGGCAGCTTCTGGGGTCAGAGACCTGTCCAGGATACAGTGATTATGTTTAGATAGTCCAAACTAGACCAAAAAAGGGTTCCTGAGACACGTTGGCTTGTATGCAGCAGTCAGGGTGGAGAACTCTGGAATAGCAAGGGCCTCTCGGGGACTCAAGGAGCAACGGGATGGACAGACATCTGAGGTCACTGCTGTTTCAGGAGGACGTCCTGGATTGTATGGATGCCACATATCACATCTGTATCTCAGAAAGGGGTGCCACTCTAAGGGGGGGGGGCTAGGAAACAAGAAGCCAACCATGGCTAGCAAGGCTCCCAGGAGAATGTAAAAGCAGCAAGAGGCTGAATATTACGTGAGGTCCAAAGGAAGCCACTTCTTTCTGGGCACCACCTTCCCTGGCCAGATTCTTCACACTCTCAGATGTGTTACCAGTTGTTGTTTTCTTGATATTCGGCTGAGGATGTACTGAGTTGGCCAAAAGGTCCATTAATGTTTTTTTCCACACAATGGCTCTAGTGGCACTGAGTTATCTTCACCTTCATTTGAAATAATTTTGTTAGATTGCATTGTGACAGCTGTCACATCAGCATGTGTTAAAAAGAAGACATCGAAGTTGGTGCATTTTTGTGCAGCCATTTTAATATTGAAGATGGAAGAAAATAGGTATTCAACGTATTATGCTTTAGTATTTCAAGGAAGGTAAAAACGCATCTGAAATGCAAAAAAAGATTTGTGCAGTGTATGGAGAAGGTGCTGTGACTGATCAAATGAGTCAAAAGTGGTTTGCAAAGTTTCTTGGTACTGTTGATATTTTGGCCAACTAATTTTTTGCTGTGGGGCTGTCTTACACATTGGAAGATGTTTAGCAGCACCCCTGGCCTCTACCCACTACAAGCCGGTAGCAGCAGACAGCCAACATACTCAAAATATCCAAATCAATAAAGCTATTGGTAAAAATGAAATTTTTTTTATGGAGAAAACATAACAGACTTTTTGGCCAAACCAATAACTCTCTTAGCCCAGTTCCTGCCTGGGCTTGTCCCATCTTGCTTGTTCTCTACCAACAATGTGCCCTGGCAGAGAGGGTCCAATCAAAGGGTCTCTCGCCCACTGCAGGGCTCTGGATTAGTGTGATCAAGGATGCTATCATGTGACTTGGGGACTTCAGTTGATGAGGCTCAACAACACATTCCAGAGAAAAACTGAGGTCATGGCAGCTGCCTCAATGATTATTTCTGAAACATGTGTAACAAGCAAGCCAAGATTATTTGCAAAAGAACCTTCTGCTAAAAGTGCAGCAACTACTTTGTTGACATCTTTCCAGATAAGGGCCTGAAGGCCCCATACTGGTTGATTCCAAGACTCTGACCACACAGCATCCTGGATTGAGGTGCAGGGATTCAACAAGGGCAGAAGAAATACCGGCTCGCAGACTTGATCCTTTCATGAGTATTTGAGACAGATGAATTCGTCTACAGCCTGAAGCTCTTCCCTCCCTCCTCCTCTAGCTGTGGCGCCAACTAAAAAGAGCTACTGCCAGTCTACCTTTTATCTGGGCACTACAAGAAATGACTCTGCCGAACCAAGTTAACACCAGGCTGCACTCCAAGTGAGCGTCCATTAGTCTGTGGGCAAAGTAGGAGCGAGCAAGATGACCTGCTCCTGTTTACAGGATGACCAAAAGTGCTTCAGCTAAATGAAGTCCTACATGGAATTCGCCGCTTTTCTTGCTCCTTGTTAAGTTATTTTTTGGGAGAGGCGATTAGATAGGCCCTTAGTAAACTCTGTTCTGGAAACCTTAAGGATAGATTTACAGTTATAGCATCCCTGGGAAGGATATTTATGAGGAGCCTGATAAACTAAAATAGCTTGGCTGAGTCGTGCATAATCTCAGAATGGAGTTCTAAAGCTACATGACTTTCAGCACAGGATTCCAGCAACCAGTTTATTTTCACAGGCCCAGTTCATACGACTAATCAGATCATGGAAAATTAGGAGTGTAGTAGAGAATGCTAGATTTGATTAAAATGTTCATTTTACCTTCTCCTGAGAACTGAATTAGTAACCCATAATATAGTTCCCTTTATGTGAGACGGTATCATTAAAATCTTTCTTTATAGATTTCTCTGCAAATGACCGTGAGAACAACCTGTACTGATGGTTCCACTTGTGTCTCAAAACACTGCCGCCCACCACACTCAAGGGGGAGGGGCAGGGATTCGCTTCCACATACAGGGCATGGGAGGGGCTGCTCTGGGGCCACGGCCAGACTCCTACTGTCGTGTGTGTGTGTGTGTGTGTGTGTGTGTGTGTGTACGCGCGCGTGCGTGTGTCTCTAATTTGTGTCTGAAGGTAGGACGTGTGTAGGGTCCTACCTCCAGACACAAGTTAATTAGAGACAAGTTAAAGTTGCTAGTAAGCGTCATTTAACATCTTGCAGCTTTTCATCTGAGTAGACTCTTGTGTTTCATAGGACCAAACAGCCGCTGCTTCAGCTTCATAGGGGCTCCATTTCTTTCACAAAAATGAAGAACTCAGTTACCTTTATCCCCATAAAGTTTCCATATGCTTTGACAGGTGATGATCGCAGGTGCTCCGATCACAGGTGATGAGACTTGCTCAGACCCTGCCATCCCTGTCTCCTTGGTTTGTGTCCAGGTCTCTGCAGCAGAGGCCAGAGGACCGTGCTGTCCCCTCCCTGTTTACCTCAGACATGGCCCGTGCTCAGCCAGCCGGGCAGTGTACTGATTTGTGGGAAATGAAAGGGTTGTGTCCTGCAGGTGAGAACTGGCATTTGTTACGCTATAGATATAAAAGCACTGCAAGGCCAGAGAGATGCGCCAGGATGGCGAGTGGGACCTGGTGTGTGGGGCCAAATGAGCAGGGTGGGGGGCAGGGTGCCCATCTACATGGGAAAATGATATAAACTGGTGCATTCACATCACTGAATATTACGCAATGATTAATGTGTCCCAGAGGAATAGCCGTAGGTGAAAAATAACCAAGTTGCTAATATGTAGAGGAGATCCTAGTTTCCTGTGTGTGTGTGTGTGTGTGTGTGCGCGTGTGCGCATGTTTGTGAGAGGAGAACACAGCTGCAGGGTAAGAGTGTACACTCCAGCGTGGGGCTGCCATAGATGGGGACAGGAGGAGGAGGAAGAGGGAGGCACTGTGGTGGGAGATGGAGTCAGAAAAGAGAAAGTAAAGGGCACTGGTGCAAGGGAGAGTGACTATGGAGGACAAGCAGACGTGACTGTTTCAGACCCACTGAAACTTCTAATGTGGCCGTAAAATAAGACGGCTCGTTGCAGCCCAAAGATGGGCAGGTGCCCAGGGGGCACGAGAGCAGGCAAAACATTTTGGAACTACCCCTGTGGCCCAGGCCTTAAAAATAAAAAAGGAAACCAAACCCTCATTTTTGATTTATTGGTGGGGGAGGGGACAGTCCCGGCAAGAAGAAGAGTGTAGAGCGAGGGCCACGGGGACCGTGTTCAGGGGGTCACTCTGCCCTGCCAGGACGCTCTCACCACGGAGCCCAGCCCTCTCACGACCTGCCTGTCCTGTTACCGAACACCACAGCTACCAGGACACTCCAATGGAAACAGCGGTTCCGAGGCCAATCAAATGCAAAAGTGGATGAAAGATGATGCTCATTAGCACTGAATCCTGCTAAAATTATCTCATGAAGTGATCTGTCTACCTTGCAGCTTTGCTGCCCTAGGAATTCCTAGTGCGCAGTCGGAAACGTGCTGGTTCATGTGGAAGTTCGTGACTTCTGCTGGGGACTAAGCCTGCCCCGCCCGACACAGGACTTTCACAGAAATTACTGTGGCTCAATAGTTTAAATGAGGCTGGCTTTTGCTGAATGGCAATTTCACTTTGTGTACAAGGCTAAGCATTAAATTCTAACCATATAACTAAATCGTTCCTTTAAATCATCAACATCCTGCAGAAAATTAGCACTTGTGTAGGTAAAGATATATAACAATATCAAATACGTGTCTTAGACAAACACCATTTTTTTCCTTGACCTTTCAAACTTCATAAATGCTTCCCTCCTCCCAGAAAGTATGTGAACACTTGTTCGTTCCTGTGAGGAGAGTCCCTGGTAGCAGAAAAAGGTCACTGGTTCAAGTGCCTGATACAGAAAACTGAGCCCAGCGTTTAAAATGTGGCAGAGAGAACACACCAGCGAGACTGCTCCGCCTGCGCACAGCCGCAAATCCACTCATACAGTCGCATGCGGCTCCTGCGGCTCCCCTGGTTCCCTTCCGACCCAATTCATTTCCCCAACGGTCAAAGGAAACATATACTTGACCAAAGCTTAGCAGTGTTCCCCATAAAACTGTAAGACTAAAATTGGTTCCGTTTTACCGGGCATCTTCGAACCATGTGGGAGTGAGAGGTTTAAAAGGAAAACCGTGTGCATCTCTGCAGCACGAGAAAAGCTGATGCCATCCAAAAGCAATAGGAAAAAAAGAGCATATTCACCCTTGTACAAATATTAAAACCAACCCGCAGTTTCACCCTTAAAGTCTGCAAGGGTAGCATTACCGTTGACTCTTCACCACCTGTGACAGTTGACGCTCGTGGTCTCCTAGCTGGGGCACTTGGCTGTTAAATGATAATCCACATCAGTGAAATGCACTTAGGGAGACCACCAGATGCTGATCGAATCAGGAAATCACTGCTGTGTCACAGCCAGTAAGCAGGTGACATGAATCAGAACCCTTGAAAAGCCACCCTGTGCAAGGAAAGCTGAGCACTCACTGATGACCGGAGGGAAAAAAGGATCCCCAACAACCTCCCACCAGAGAAGCCTTGTGGGGGTGGCCTTCCTAAGGGGTACACATTACTGAGGGTCCAAAATGAGTGATACCCTCAGTAATAATAATGTGAGAGGTCTTACTTGGGGGCAGAAAAAAGGAAAACTGCATGGTTTTGCAACCCACTGTTACATAATTAGCAGGTTCTTTAATCGGTCAAACTCAAACTTCTAGTAAGAGGTCCCCGGTGATCAGTGAGTTTACAGCTTCACAGAGCTCAAGGAAAGAGGGAGGACCCATCCGTTTCTAGGAAAATGAGATTTTTGGCCAATAAAATTGACATGGATTTTGAAAAGGAGAGAAGGTACCATTGATTCAGCAAGGGGAGTCACAGAACCCTTAGGCGGAGGCCCCACGAGTCAGACAGAGCTCATGTTGTTTTGGGGGGAAGCCTGGACTGAAACCCTCCCACAAAGGAGGCCCCTCACCAACCAGCGCATCCACCAGAAGGCACGAACGAATCTATTCTATTGACTGCACGTTTGACTAGTGTACTCGTTACCTCATTTGGTAAACATAGAAGACTAAAATCTAGGCCGAAATGTCCTTCTGAGCAGTGCAATGGAGTCCACGGTAGGGAAGACACTGTGATTTCAAAATTTTTCAGTGTGCTTTTCCCCCCATCACCCAGAATAAGGTACTAGTGCTAAAAATAATGGAGGATTTGTAGTCGTAACGATATTGTTTAGGGTCACACATCAAACTGAACGTGCTAAAACCACGTCTTTTCTCCCCCAAAAGAAGAAACAAATTTACACAATATTTCTTACTTTTAATGGGTGTACCAAGCACCTCTCAAGGCAGTTCTGCTCTGCCTTTGAATGGGAACATTCACTTCTCTATGTCCATTACTAACCACCCACCACTCTTCCATATTTGCTGCTGGTTATAAAAACCATGGGAGAGTGGGAACAAATGATAGCTAATTGTTTAGTCAGGAGAGCTGCCTTTAAAGAGAAGGTACAGAGGCTGTGTGAGGTTAAGACTTTAGGCCATTGGTCAGAGAAAGCCACGGTCGCTCCCCACCCGGAAGAGTTCTTCCCATTTACAGGGATTCACCATGTTCTCAAAATATTGGTCACTGGAGCACAGCTTAAGTTAATTAAAAAAAAATGATCGCATGCTTCTAGTTAAGTCATTTAGGTTAAGTAAACACAATGTTAATTGGCATAAATTTGGCTGAAAAACTAAGCAATGAAGTTTTAACCATTTTAGAGACTTTGGTGGCAAAAACAACTCTTCGTATTGGAAATCCACTCTTCCTGAGCAATTTGCTGGGGAATTTGAATGTTGCATTTTTACAGTAAATGGATTTGCATGGGAAAAACTCTTCCTCAGTAGCCCCGATGATTTTAAATAAAAGCTGAAAGAGCCAAGGGAGGGCCGGAAATGAGGGGGTTACCGGTGGTAGATGAGCCTGCTCTGCGACCACCTCGGTGACGCTGCATGACCTCAGCCTCGAGGAGGGCTCCCTCTGCTGGAGGGGAGGAAAGGACATGAGCATCAAGGAAACATTCTTGGAAAAACCAGTTTCATCAGCTTACCACTCAAATCCTATTCACCACTCTGCGGTAATGGAAGGTAAGTGAATGAAACATCAGACTAATGAGAGCGATCCTTCCGAGTCACATTTCTGCAACTTTCATCCTCAGTGTTCTAAGCAGACTACGGTGTGGTTGGTCCTTAGTTATTGTAAGTAACAGAAGTAAGAGGACAAGGACAAAACATGCAAGGGGACTCGACAGGCCACCATCACACTGCAGGCTTGCTTTAAAACTGCAAATAAGAAGTTGGAAGTCTTATCATCTGCTTTGGGATGCAACTTTTAGGTAAATTCTAGTGAGAGATCAGTAGAGGAACGGTGTTGATTTATTTTTTTAGACAATCATTGACTATTATTATCACGAACAAAGAACCAACTGGACTCTATATCCAGAGAAACCCAAATATAATCTTGTGCTACTTCTGAAGGGTCGGGTATTTCCAATTTTAGCTTCTTAATGGAGTTGAAGTTGTACAGATAAGGAATGAGGAAAAACAGTGATGTTAACCTCAGAAGTCTAATGTGTAATGTATAATGTTTCTCTCACTTGTTTGCATTCATCTCCATAGTTTTTTTTAAAAGGAAACCTAATGGATCCAATCAGAGAGCACAGCAGGCAATGCACATAGACAAAGCCAGGGGTCTAATGAGCGACAGGTTCGTCTCTGGGACAAGCATGTGGCACTTACTCACTGCTGACATTTTGCAATGATAACTAAAATGGGAGAAGGTCAAAGAAAGACTCTGGGACAGTGATGGGGGTGGGGGACGACTGGCGTTTTCTGCATTTGTCATGAAGGGTTCATTCTCTAGAATGAGTTCACACTATGGTTCTGGAATAAAGTATCCCTGAGCCAAACTGGAGAAGAGTCTCATATTCTCCTCTTTCTTGGGCATTCTTATGTAATAGTTAAACCAGACTCAACACAATCTTAAGATAGTTCTGACACTAGCACTTGGACGTTAAAGATATTTTATACAGCTTTGATAAGCAAATGTCGGAGCTCCTTATACAAATAATTAAGAGATGCTAACTTAATATTAATGCTGAAGAATACTATGATTTTTCACTTGGTAGACCAAAGGTGTCTAATTGCCAAAATTACTGTAGTACTTACTTCCTTTTATAGGTTTTAAATATATGGCTTCATTGCCTATATTGTTTCCACGGCAACAGTTTTACCAATTCAAATGTCACATTTATGCAAACTCTTTTCTTCCTGCCCCTTTAGTACTAAATTTTCATCTCAGTGGTATTTCTCTTTTTGAAAAAAACATTCACAGAATTTTAATCTAAAACCATGTTAACTAAGTAAGTAATCACTGCAACTCACACAGTATGGGCCAATGGTGCCTTTTGAAATAAAAATAGCGCAACCAAAGAAGTAACGATTGTGCGAGTATTCACTTGCTTTTACATCTTACACCCTGTCCATTTACATCTGAGATGACGGTTAGGGTGACTATTTTTCTAGGGTGCCATTTTCAGTGACATCACTACCGCCTTTACAACAGATCATCTTGAAGTTCAATTTCTCAAAGAACTGAGGCTGCATTTGTTCTTAATGCATAAGCAGGAATTTTCTATGGGCTTTTTCTGTACAGCTCTGTATTGTCAAACACAGAGAGGTCTTCCTGGCTTCTCATCAGGGTTGAGCTCAAGTGCCCCCAATAGTTGAGAACCCAAATTCAAATGCTACCACTGATGTAAGTATTCCGATGCCACAGCCCTTGCCAAGGACCTAGTTTTCTGGGGCTTAGGGAGTGTCTTTTATCTCCCACCCTAACCTTGTCTTCATCCGTGAAATGAGAGACAGATACACAGCGTTACTTCAGAGGATGGATTAGGAGGTCCAACGTCTCCTATGTCCCAGTGCAAAATGCCACCTTTTGTGACAAAAGTACTACATATGAGCCTTTGACTGGGAGAAGAAATGCCACAAGGTTAAAGTTGGCAATTACAGAAGCCAGGAACTCTTATCATCCTCTTGCATTCTTTTCAAATCAAGAAAGATGCTCACCTACTTGGGCTAATTTGGGTATGGCCCTGCTTCTGCTAGGTTAGAAGGAACTTTGGAAAATGTCAGTTATCTGGGAGCTGGGAGACCCTTGGTCATTATTTGCATATAAGACTCTCTGAAAGCAAGAAAAAAATGATAAAATATTTGCTTAACTTCTCAAACAGGACGATTACTTACAATCAAAGAACCAAACTGCTCCCCATTGGAGTCTGGAGTGATCTGAAGTCTCCTGCTCAGTTCCTCGGACAGCTCCTGAGGGCTGGTCCGAGAGCCTGGGGAGGAGGGGGGTGGGGGCAGCGCCAGACCGAGGGAGTCTCCGGCGATAGTCATTTCTTCCGAAATGGTCTCCCAAGGCTGTCAGGGAAGGAGACGCTGAGTTAAATGCCAGGAATGAGGAATCCTTTCCTGCCCTCCCCAGCAGTAACCATTATCGTAACTATAATTAACAGTTACTGAGCACTTAGGAGGCAGACAATCTTCTCAAACATCATGACAAAGATATGACTACTACCCTAATGAACAGATGAGGAAACTGAGGCACAGAGGGTGACCTGCCAAAGGTAACAGTGTTAGGAAGTGGCAGGACCAGGTCTTGAACCAAGGAAGCCTGGTTCCAGGAGCTGTCCCCTGATCACGTCACAGTCCCACCTCTCTGAGTTGTGACTTCCTTCTAGCACTTGTTACTAAATGCATGGGTTACAGAAATAATCTCAGGAACTCACGGACACTTTCTATGGATTTTCTTGTACTCTAACTGCTGAGGATTAACACTGAAAACAGCGGAGATGCTATAATCTGTAATTAAACACTGGTATAAAGTACCCTTCAGTAATTTTTTTATGGAATCATTCATTTTGATTCCATAATTTCTCTAATTTCGATCACTGGAGCATTTTGCAAATGATTTTCTTCCTAACACAGAGTCTTTTGCGGATTTCTACTAAGTAAACAGAGTTGTTAAGGTGGCATGGAAATTATAATTGTTAACTTGTTCTTTAATTCATAACTTTCCCCTCCAGGAATTTACCATGAACATTTCAGAAGAAAATTATAAATATTTCTATTCACCCACATTCATATTTGCTTGGTAATAAATTTCTTCTGTGACGTCAAATTATTCAGTAAAAGCCTGTGTTTAGTATCCAAAGAAGTTATAGTTTAGTACCCAAAGAAGTTAGTTATAGAACTAATAGGATAACCATGTTGCCATTTAATAAGATGTGGTTAGACTCTGGGGGAAAAAATTATGGAGTGAGAAATAAACTAAGATTCCCATACAAAGAATAATGTCACTCCCTTTTATAATGATACAGATACTTCTTCACCAAACATGACTCTTATAAGCACTTTCTAAATTCATATCCTGATGGTTGTCAGTTAGCTGTGAGGCCGTGAGCTTTATTTTCTAGATCACTTTTATGGGGCAAAGAAATCACAACACAGAAGCAAGCTGGGGACAAGGAAGGTGGAGGTGCAGAGTGGGGGGGGACGGGATGTGGCACCTCATTGTCTCCGCCCTCCGACTGCTCGGGCTCCAAGTCCTCGCTGATGTGCCTGCGGGAGCGGAAGCGCCGGTGAGCAGCCTCCTGGTTGATCTGCCGGATGTTGCTGTCCGCCTCGGGGGACGCGTCCCTGAGGGCGAGGGGATGGAGACAGGAGACCGGTGTCAGTAAGTGGACCTTGGATAAGAGCCCGAGGATCATCAGGGGCCTTACACACACAAAATGCCAGTGCTCTGATGTTCACCACACTGACAATGAGACTCCGACCACGATAGTTTGGCCAAAGTATCCTTCTAGGTTCATCTCCATCACATAAATACAGCTCTTAAATGCATCCATCACAACATTTGGGTGTCTTTCAGACACACACATCAAAATGGACTGTCGTAGTGAAGAAAGAGGAGCAACAGAGGCTGATGTCGGGTCTCGCTAAGGAGCTGGGTCAGGCCTGACCCTTCTAGGAGTCTAGCTGTGAAAGGAAGCAACTCTTGGTCATTAACAACAAACCACAGTGTGCCCAGGGCAAATTCAAAGCTGGGATCTGGAGGGATGTGCTGCTTACGCTGCACACATTTTTTCAGCTCCTGTGGATCCCATTTGGGCAGAATCTCAGACGTGGGACACCGCATTTCTCCCCGACCAACTACTCAAACATCAGGCGCTAACCTCCCAAATCACCTGGGGTTTGAGGAATAATGACACTTCACTTCATACTCTGGTTTTCTTTGTTGTTCATTCAAGTAACTCTTAGTTCAGGATCTGAAAGCATCGATTCTATCTTGAAAACTTTTGCAGTAAAGTACAAGCCATCACCCTCTGGGAAAAATACTACTTGGAGGCTTTTAGAGAAGTTTAAATGTCAAAATGTTTTTCAGAGAAAACTTGCACGGACTACTGATAAGACACTATACTCAGTTCACAAAAAATGGTGTTGCTAGTTCATATTTCAAAATACTTGAAAACATTATTTCAGACTAATTAAAATGCAGTATTTATTAAGGTGCCTTATTACAGTTTTCCTAAAACATAGGTTTTAAGCATTCTAATACAATTTCAAACTAATGAATAACTACATCCCAATAAAGAGCCTGCTGGGCCCCTGAACAGTGACTAGTTTAAGACTAGCAGCCCTGTATGCAAATGAACAGGTGAGTCTAATGCCAGTTTCTGAGATAGTTGAAGTACTTCCAACAGACATCTTTATACTATTAACTTTACTGGTAAAGGGGTAGTATAAAGGTTAGCATTTATTTAATTCATATTAGAATAATTCCTTATGATGAAATTTTGAATTAATGAAGTTTTACTGCATCTGCACACCCAATACACAAACTTCTGAACTCAAATGGAAATATATATCCTGCATATTTTAGAGTAATACTAAAGTATTACCAGTCTAAAAATAGTATACCAGATAGAGACACCTTGAGAAAAATGGACAATTATGGCCATATAGAAAAAAAATTAAAATCAAGGACTATACAAGTATACTAATAAAATTTCTAAAACCACAAAAACAAAATGATAAAAAAATGACACTATCGGATATGTTAGAAAATGTAGCATTGTTATTTGTGATTTTATGTGGTTGCAGTCATTTTTATGACATTGATTTCTTAAGCACACAATAATTATAAAAAGTAAATATACGATATTATTGAACTCACAGAAACTAGGTCAGAACATCAGAAGAGCTTCATAATCTATGCAAAATATTTCAGTAATGTCTAAGAAGGCCAAGAAAACTATACTATCCTGTTTTGCTTTTTATTAAGGACAAAAAGCAGTATCACTTTATAATGACTGGCTTTACTTAAAAATATTTTATGTATTCAGAGTTCCACTGAACTTTTAAATCGTCACTTGAAATACCAGTCTTCATTTATTCAATGCTGGGTGACTAACGTGTGCACGCGGGCTGTGTGCAGGGTCTCACAGATACTCTCATTGGTACAGGGATGCCTGAGAGACTGAAAAAAATAAGGTTTTTATATTACTATGTCTGCGTTTTATATCTCTCAGAAGCATACAAAATTCCATTATTTTGAGAGAACTGACTGTTTTTTTTAAAGGGGCATTTTAAATCAATTATGCCAATCTTCCTTACCCAGCATGCTCAGATAATTAGTAATCTGTGTGAACCAGAAACAACTGAATAGCATAAAGAAGCAGGATACCTCTGATTCTGAAATTCCAAACATGGGCTTCTATGGGTTTTAGTGATAAAATGAAAATGTTCACAACATGTAGGGCATTTGTATTTAATTAAGCAACTGAGTAAGAGGGTTTGAAATGAAAGTTGTTGAAACCAACTGCAGTTTAAATGGCCACTAGTGGGAAGACAAACGTCAAAATATTTCTAATCTGGCAAATGCAATCAAAAATGTTTTTATTGGGAGCAAGAAAAAATTTAAGAAGTGGTTATTTCAACTTTCTTCAGTCATTAATTCACATGGGTATTCTTCATGTGACTTTCATGGGCAAGAAAAACCACAAATTTATCAAGATCAGCATGTCATTTACATTCACATTTGTTAGTGGCTATAATGATGGCCCAAGTTGCCTAGATGTGACTGAATTACTGCTAAGACAGGGAAGATATATAAACTGTTTTAGAAAGAGCCCCCCCCCAAAAAAAAACGAGTTAAAATAAGTGAGTTCAACGAGTTCATCTTTACTTGTGGTCTTAATGTAATAACTTTTCACTATTTAAAAAATTATAGTTCTTATAGTAAAAAAAGTTTACAGTTTATGTGCAAATAGGAAAAGGGCAAATCTAAAATTAGGGGTATTTTAAAAGCCACCATTGGACTCGAGGGGGCTGGGGTATCTTTTACGGTCACCCTGCTCTAAAGTAGTACACCAGGCCTAAACCTGCCCCAGACACTCCAGGAACCCATGTGCCTATCACCGCTTTCAGAAGTGACTCATTCACACACATTCCTTCAGCTGAAGGCACCAGCTGGGCTCCGACCTTGTGCCCAGTGCTCAGGGTGAACCTGTGAACAAGAAGGCACTGTCCCTGCTCCCCCAGGGAAGTAGAACACTCTGTGCTCTGTACCATGACTGGGGGTACAGAGGAGCACTTTAGAGGAACGCCCAACTGAACAGGCACGGTAGCCTAGGGAAGGCTCGTGTTCCAGTGCTGTTTGCTTTTCAGTGGGGGAAGAGGGATCTAGCAAAACCACAGAGCCACAAAGAGAAAGGAAGAGAAAGCGGCTTGTGTGATGCCACTTTAGTGCGTTGCGTGTTCGTGACGGGGTGTAGGGGGGAGAGGAGGGTGAGTCAGGAAGAGACAGGCTGGAGATGGACCTTGTAAGAACAGCCTGAGGGCACTGAGGTTATTCAGGGTGGAAACTTTTCATGGGGTTGAAGTTCGGGGCACAAATTTGTGGTAGACTGGGTGAGACTGAGTGTCCAGGAGAATCTCTGTTAGCACATGATAATAGGCAACCACTCTCTGCCTTCCTCAGATACAGCCTTGTCATAAAGACACTTTATTATTCCAAAGAATATGGGAGTATTATTTTGTGGAAACTGAATTATGAAAACAATTATTTTTAAATTAAAACAATTCTTTAACAGACTGATAACAGCTGGCAAAATTGAAGCAGTGATCAAAAAACTCCTGACACACAAAAGCCCTGGACCAGATGGTTTCACAGGAGAGTTCTACAAAGCATTTAAAGAAGAGCTAACCCCTATCCTTCACAGAATATTCCAAAAAATCCAAGACGAGGGAAGATTCCCAAGCTCCTTTTATGAAGCCAGCATCATTTTAATCCCCAAACCAGATAAAAACACAACCAAGAAAGAAAACTATAGGCTAATATTGCTAGTGAACACAGACACTAAAATCCTCAACAAAATATTGGCAAACTGCATTCAACAATAAATTAAAAAGATCATAAACCATGATCAAGTGGGATTCATCTCAGGGATGCAAGGATGGTATGATATTCACAAATCAATAAACATATCACATAGACAAAAGGAAAGACAAAACTCACATGATTGTATCAATAGAAGTGGAAAAAGCATTTGATAAGATACAGCACCCATTTATGATAAAAACACTCAGCAAAGTGGGAATAAAGGGAGGATTCCTCAATGTGATGAAGGCCAGATATGAGAGGCCTACAGCCAACATTATACTCAATGGGCAAAAAACTTAGAGCTTTCCCACTAAGACCAGGAACAAGACAAAGATGTCTACTTTTACCACTTCTATTCAACATAGTATTGGAAGTCCTAGCCACAGTCATCAGACAAGAAAAAGAAAAGGCATACAAATTGGAAAGGAGGAAGCAAAACTGTCATTGTCTGCAGATGACATGATAGTGTACATAGAAAACTCTATAGGTTCCACCAAAAGACAACTTGACCTAATAAGTAAATTGGGCAAAACAGCAGGATACAAAGTCAATATTCAGAAATCAAAGACATTTTTGTACAGCAACAATATCAGAAACAGAAATCAGGGGAAAAAATCCCATTTGCTATAGCGATAAGAAAAAGAAAGAACTTAGAAAATAAACCTAACCAAGGAGGTAAAAGACCTGTACTCAGAAAACTACACAACTGAAGACAGAAATTAAGACACAAATAAGTGAAAGCATATACCATGTTCATGGACTAGAACAATTAACATCATCAAAATGTCCATACTACCCAAAGCAATTTGTAGATTCAATGCAATCCCTATTAAAATACCAATGACATATTTCACAGATACAGAACAAACATTTAAAAAATTTATGTGGAACCATAAACAACCCTGAATAGCCTCAGCACTTTTGAGAAAGAAAAACAAAGCAGGAGGGATCAGAATACCTGACATCAAACTGTATTTCAAGGCCACAGTAATCAAAACAGTCTGGTACTAGCATAAGAACAGATACATAGATCAGTAGAACAGAATACAGAGCCCAGAAATAAACCCAAGTCTCTATGGCCAATTAATATGAGACAAAGGGGGCAGAAGCATAAAATGAAGTAAAAATACCTTCTTCAACAAATGGTGTTGGGAGATCTGGACAGCTACATGCAAAAAAAATGAAACTCAACCACCAACTTACACCCTATACAAAAATAAACTCAAGATGGATAAAAGACTTAGTATAAGTTGTGACACTATAAAAGTCCTAGAGGAGAGCGTAAGAAGAAAAATCTCAAATATTCCACCCAGGAAAATTTTTACTGATGTGTCCCCTAGAGCAAGGGACATAAAGGAAAAAATAAACAAATGGGACTTTATCAAAATAAAAAAGCTTCTGCACACCTAAAGAAAACATTAGCAAAATGAAAAGGGAACCACCATATGGGAAAATGTATTTCCCAATGATACCTCCTACAAGGGTTTGATCTCCAAAATATATAAAGAACTCACATGACTCCACTCCAGGAAGACAAACAACCTAATTAAAAAATGGGCAAAGGATCTAAATGAACACTTCTCTAAGGAGGACATACAGAGGGCCCAGAGACATATGAAAGAATGCTCAGCATCAGTAGCCATCAGAGAGATACAAATTAAAACTACAATGAGATACCACTTCACATCATTCAGAATGGCCATTGTAAACAAATCAACAAACAACAAGCTGTTGGAGAGGATGTGACGAAAAGGGAACTCTAGTGCACTGTTGGTGGGGATGCAGACTAATACAACCACTGTGGAAAACAGAATGGAATTTCTTCAAAAAACTATAAATGGAGCTTCCTTTTGACCCAGCAACTCTACTGCTGGGATTATACCCTAAGAACCCTGAAACACCAATTCAAAAGAACCTATGCACCCCAATCTTCATAACAGCACAATTTACAGTATCCAAGAGTTGGAAGCAACCTAAGTGCCCATCAGGAAATGAGTGGATCAAAAAACTATCGTGCATTTATACAAAGGAATACTAGGCAGCAGAAAGAAAGAAGGAGCTCCTACCCTTCACAACAGCATGTATGGAACTGGAGAGCATTGTGCTAAGTGAAGCCAGGCAGTGAAAGACAAATACCATATGATCTCACCTTTAAGTGGAACCTAATCAACAAAACAAACAAGCAAGCAAAATATAACCAGAGACATTGAAATAAAGAACAAATGGACAGTAACCAGAGATGAGGTGGAAGAAGATAATGGGGGGGGGGCAGGGAGAAGGGTCGTCGAGCAACATGCATAAAGGACACATGGACAAAGGCAAAGAGGGGTAGGATAGAGGGTAAGAGGTAGCAATGGCTGGGGTGAGGTGGGGAGAAAAACAAACAAAAAGCAATTATTCTTTAATTCTGGAAGGCTCCTGGCAAAACCACATCAAGTGAAGGAGAAACAGCCCGAAGTTCTCAAACAGTTCAGATGAGACAGAGGGGTCACCATGGAAACTCACTCTCTCCTTATCTAACTCTTCTCCCACTTTCTCAAAGACACATCTGCTGGAAAGGGGCTGCTCCACGAGCTCCGCAAGTTCCGCCCAGGGTTCCACTGACTCCTTCCTGGCCCCACCTCTCCTTTGATCATGGTGGCTGCCTTCACTGATGGGGACAGCCATGCCCCTGACTCCTCCCTAAACTACATGTGAACCTGAACTTGGATGAGGAACTGCATTTTTCCCACGTTGCTTCTGGACTACTGATTTGCCAACATTACACAACTTCCATCTTCTGTTTTGGTTTCGTTCTTTGGGACACGGTCACCAAAGCTGGTATGTTTAGAAAAACACAGAATGTGTTTTCTCAGTAATCCCCTCATCGTTTCACAACTCTGTGAGGCGAGGAAGTTGCCATGATCACCACCCATCCTCCAAATAGAGACTTCAGTTTACACGACAATTATTAACAAAGGTGAACATTTTCCATATATTAGTATTTCTTCCTTTGTCAGTTGCTAGTGGCCACTGTCATATAGAGGTCACATGACCCTCTGGTCCCTGTGGAGTGCTATGTTTTAAGGTACTTTATTATGATGTCTAGCAAAGGCAGATCATGGTGCTTTGCTTCGAGTATCGTTACCAAGAGTTCTCTGATCACGACATATAACCAAGTCCAAGGTGAGTCCATTTCTTTTTTAACTACAAACAGCCAGAGTACTCCATGGCTTACAATACTTTTAATAGCTATGGCCATTAATCAAAGGGAAATGGCAAAAAATAAAATAAAACAAAAATAAATTAAAAAAATTGCTAAATCATTTTCATGGGGAAAAAAATCACAACAAAGAAGAGTTCAGCACAAACACAATGTCCAGACACTCACGCTGTCCTGGGAGCGATGAGCTGATGGTGGCCAAGCCGGGCAGTCGGAGCTGCCCGAGAACAGCTGCTCTTCACAAGAACCCACGTGGGGGCTTCGGAACCACTGGCCATTTGCTGTTGCAGATTCCTGAAGCCCTATCTCTAAACCAACAAAGCCAAGACCAAACTCCTTAGACCCCTTGCCCACCCAGAATCATGTGCAGAATATCTTCGAAATTTCTAAAGAGAAAAGGGTTATCGGCATCACCGTCCATCACACTGCTAATACCACTTGTTTCAAAAATATCATTAGCAAATTTCCTTCAGAGTCTGGGTAAAGGAGAAAATTTATCTCACCCAATATACTTGGCTTTTAGTACATATTGCAATTGATAGAACTCATTGATAATTGCCTCCTTATCTTGGCTGCTAAAGAAGCTTGGCTAGTCATGCAACTCATGATGGCTAGAATAATTTTTCTTTTCCTTCTTTTAATACTTTGTTTTTGCCTTTTATTGCATATTACTAGTTTTAGGTCCTGCTGTATGCTGTGATTTAAAAACAAGCTACTTCAAATCCTTTTTTATAGTAGCTGAGGTTTAACTAGTGTTTATTTCCTATCATCAAACCAAAAATTGCAAAGCAAACAAAATAGTAATCAGTGTGCACCGCGTCCCTGAGGCTGGGGAGGGAGCAGAACAAACAGTAATTACTAATTCTGAGTTTGTGTTCTCCCATGTGTTCCTAATTATATAAGGGGGTGATATAGAAATCTCCCCAAAAGGAAAAACAAAATTTTTGAGAGGGTTTCCAAGTTAAATAATTAAAGGGAGTAAAAATCCAAAATCTTTAGGAAAGAGTTCCATTCCGCGTTGGTGAGCAGAGGAAGCCGCAGAAGGGAGAAAGGACAGAGTCAACACACGTAAGGTAAACCCAGGAACTGCAACCTCTGCTTTATATTTCATGAATCCATTGAAGGAAGGCAGAACGTGGTAAGAGGCAAGAGCTTCCTCATCACGTGTAAATTCTGACAGCTGCCATGCTCCCGAACTCAGCGAAGAGGAACCCAGGGGCGCCACACAGCCATGTGCTTTTCTAGACCCGAGCCTTCTTTCCCAGCCTCGTCCACACTAACTGCAGCGGGCGAGCGTGTGCTCCTGACCTTCGCTCGGTACTCACATTAAGCTCGGTCGGTGCCACTGCGTGGTCCGGTTGTTGTGGTTGACATAGTAGGTCCGACCCAAGTTGTCCACTTTTTCTTCCCAGCCTGGGGGCAGAGGAGGCGGAGGAAGCTCCTCCTGGTGCTGGGAAGCTGAGTCATTCGAGTCCACGACTTCCCACCCGTGCTGTGGAGTAAAATCAGATGGAAGGTCGCGAGGCGGGTCCTTCAGGTGTGCGGGAGGACACAGTGACAGTGCCGTCTGCATCCTGGCTCCGCTGTACTCTGGCTTTTGCAGTGGCTTCATGGGCCACATTTGAAGAAATTCCCCCAAAGTGGGGATAACACCTATTCTGGAGTCTTAAAAACATTTTGAGCAATGGCCAACGAAGACTGTGTTGCCTTCTGGGGTGACTGTACTATAAGGAGCAAGAGAGAGTGGGATGTGAACAGTCTGCTGTGTTACCAAGGCACATGACATACTCCTTTGGTATTTCATGTTTTGACCTGTAGGCCTCCTGGGGCCAGACAAAGCCAAGGCAATGACATGGGTCACGTTATGGTGGCCGTCTTTTCAACACCTCCCTAAGGGAAAAGGGAGCTGGGAAGACAAGCCATACTGCGCATGCTCTTACAGACACCACAGCGCAAGTGGCCAGCAGGCCCAGGGGTCCATTGTTCCCCAGGAGGATGGCACCACGGCTGGCTTTGGGGACGAAGCTCCTACTCTGCATCCAGTGCCATCATGGGGGCCATGAGAAGTGTGGGCACTGTGGCTTTCTACTTAGATGCTCCCCACTTCATGCTGGGGCCACATAAACCGGCATTATGGCACCAGAGTTAAAGTTCCATTTTTGCAACACATAGTTTAGGCATTAAGTATTCCTTCCTCACATCCCCTAGTAAAGTCTCTGGAAAATTAAGTAATTCATGGGTTACTGCAGTTGGAAGGCTAGAAGAGGGTAAAAAAAATTCCTTGGATTTGAGATAAAAATCTGCTGATGTACTTGTGAAATCTTAACATTCATGACTCTACCACCCACTCACTGACTCCTCCTCACAGAGGAAACACTGCCTGGAAATCCGACCCCCTGGGCTGAGGGAGGCTGGGCGGACTTGCCCGTAACACAGTCACATATCACGTATATGCGACAGCTGCAAACAGATGTGCAAACAAGCCACAGACAGGCCTTGTTTAATGGGCATTTTTAGGATGAGATGAGACTCTGACAAAATAGCACCCCATCTGAAGGGTGTGCTGAGAAGGTACAATGGCACCCACGGTACAGGTACAGGGACCAGACTGTTAAAGACAGCAAGGCCAGGAGGGAAACCAGGAGAATTCCCTGGGGCGGCCAATTCCAGAGTAGCATTTCCAGAGGGAGCTTTCCCCATGCCTGCTATCTGTCACCTGCGGGCCAAATGAGCAGAAACCTGGAAAAGATTTTCTAAATCCCTTTATCCACTTTGAACCAATTCCAAGTGCTAAGAGGAATTTTACAAAGAGCTGAAAGTCCAAAGCAATCAGAGGATTAAATACAGGAGGAAAATTTCACATAGGGCTGGGGCTATTCATAAAATATGGATTTAGCATTTTGTAATGAGAAACCTCCATAATTATTAGTGTCGTAACATAAGAAGTTCATCTTTTTTGACTAAAAGCACCCACACTGGCAGGTTATCAAATACAGATTCATGGGCACTTTTAAGTTTTTTCCACTTTAAGATTTAAAAACTTTTGTGTTCTTAAATAATAGTCTTCAGGTGGACGACTTATTAATCCTAGGCCGGGAAGAGAGACCGAGACCTGGGGCGCAGTTGCTCACCTCTGCATCACCCCGCTGCTCTCCATTCTCTTCATCTTGACCTCCGTTTTTCGGCATATAGGCCATTTTCAACCGCAAGAATCCCTTAACTCGAGATTTATGACTGCACGATAGAAGAAAATTGGTTGTCAAGTCTATGGCTTGGTTACATCTTTCATAAGATGACTTTTGAAAAAAGCTAAAACAAGAAAAGTTGTTGAAGCTTCCCCAGAAAAACACCAATAACCAAGGCATAAAGGATAGCCCCTCCCAACCCCCCAAGTTCTCACCTTCTCGGTCTGAGGAGAAAGTCCTTAAACGTGTAGGGTCGCTCCATGGTTGGGTCTTCTGTCTACAGGGAGAGAAAGTGTCAACACTCCTGATAGGCTGTATTTTTAGATACACCGAATTGGATTACAGAGAGTATATTTTCATTTCAAAAGATGGGAATGGTGAAGGCAGAATCAGTTTCTCAACCATCCTTGAGAATTATAGTCAAACATTGTAGAGGTCACAGAACTTCATCCGCTCAAGATCCACTAGATGTCACTATCAACATCCATTTTTAGGAGCCAACCCCAGCCTTAGACAAATGGCAAAATGATAGTGGTCAAGGCCAAGTGTAATTTCTAACTGCAGGGTGGAGCCCTCAGTCTCCCACTGATTAACGTTGGGGAACCAGTGGTTGCTGGTGCCTCCGTGTCTCTGTCACTCAAGAAAACTGAACATGGAGCGAAGAGGAAAACATGGAAGATCTCATCTGGGAAGGCAGTTTTACCTGATTCTTAACATTAAAGGGTCATGTCACCAGCCTCACATCATTGAAAGATTATCTCTCCGCAACAGACAAATGTCCTACGTGGCCCCATGAATCTGCCTCTTGCTGATGCTCATTTCATGAAGCTGTGAATGAGACTGTGACATCCATCCACTCGTCAAAGAAACCAACACTGTGCCAAATCAGTCAGCAATTCGAAAAATAAATGTTATTATTTCAGTAATTTTCAAATACTGTATTTAGGAAAAGCTCAAAGATCTAGACTCTTTGCCTTGACTGGTGTGGCTCAGTTGGTGTGGGCGTCATCCCACAAAGCCAAAGGTTGCTGGTTTAGTTCCCGGGCAGGATACATGCCTGGGTTGCAGGTTCAGTCCCTGGTTGGGGGGTGTAAGAGAGGCAATTGATCGATGGAAGAATTGAGTCTGAGGGCCAAGAATGAAAGTGAATCATGAATCTAAAATTATTTCCTTTTATCTGGAAGCATTTAGTAAGTACAGGGCACTGAGGAATCAATGAGCAAGGGGGAAAAAATGAAGTTTCTTTTCTTTCTCATGATCACTCTTTACTCTTCCCTGTCAGGGGACAAGGACAGAGGACACGGCCTCCTCTGACCACTGTGGTCGGTAACTGAGGTACTGACTCTCTAGTGTGCAGTGCAGAGCGCACCCTGGCCTCACACCTTGCTCCCTGCCCGCCTCCTCGTCCCGCCTCCTCGTCCCGCGGATAGAGCTCCTGCCCGGGCTCTCACTATGGCCCACCAAGCCCACCAGGGCCTGGAATGAATCCAGGGACCCCACACTGGTCAGTGAGCCGAGAAGGGCCCGCATGTCCAAGGCACCAAGGCACCAAGACACCGAGGTGCCTGTAACTTCATAGCATCCCCCCAGGGTCTGCTCCTGGAGAGGTTAGGGTCGCTCCGACCCTCTCATCTTCCTGGCAGGCTGCCTGGGGTCAGGGATTTTACAGCTGAAGGATTTAAAAGCCAGGTTTTCCACCACAAACACCAGCGGCTGCCCCCGCACGCCTGGGGGGCTCCAGCAAGGGAAGGGGATTCTGCAGCAAACATCACCACTCAGTTTAAAACGTTCCTTTTTCAAAATCACACACTCAAAAACACAAAACAGAATATTTAAATTATTAAAAATAATTTCCTAGCGGTCACGAGAGATTAGACTAAGTTCAGTTCTGCTGCCCTGCATCTTTTCCATCAAGTTCCTGATTTAGAAAACATCTTCATTCAAGTTGCCAGCTTCTAAGACCAAATCAAGGCAGGTAATTTCTTTTTTTTTTTTGAAAGAATAAAGGTTCACGATCTTGGGACAACAAGGGAAAGCCTCATTCCCAGTTTAAAGTGCCTTATAATAAATAAGTGCATATGTATGTCAACACGGAAGCATAGAAAATTAACAATTTTCCTAACACCAATTTTAAAAATAGCAAAGAATTACCACTCTTTATTTTAATTTCTGTAATCCGAAGCTTCAGGGCCTTTTCCTATTAACTCAGTTGAATATTCTCTGTACACCAGATATGCAGAACTAGAGAGAAACAGCCCCAGATAGGGAAAAACCTCAATGAAGAGGCGTCAGTAAGACTGATGGGTTTGGGGAGCACCCCCCTGCCCCCTGCCTGGCTACTGTGGGTGGATTCGTACTCGGACTCCCGTTATTTTCAGGTCTCACACTGAAAAGGACTTGAGCGAACATTCGGTCCCTTCCAACAGCCAGAACCACACCTTTCTGACCCAAGCCACTCGGCTCTGATCCTAACCCGTGCCATCCAGTGTGGCAGTTGATGGCCATAGGTGGCCTTTAAATAAAAGGATAAATCCAGTCCCTCCGCCACATTGGTCGCATCTCAAATGCTCGGCCACCACACGTGGCTGCTGCCGTGGCACCTCTGCCAAGCTACCCCCGAGGGCGGGACTTGCTTCTCTGACCCTTTCTCAGATTAGGAGCAGGCCTATCAGCAAATATCTTCAGAAGGAACAGACAGATTCTCTATTAGCTGATGAGGCTGCATGAAATGAACTAGTGATCAAACACCGGTGATTCAACGCCAATGTTTGAGATTCCTTAACCCTTGAGAAAGGCCAGGGCAGTGCCTCTCTGACTCATGTTACTACTCTCCATTATCTTCTCTCATTACTACTGAGATAGTTTACCTAGTTTCTTTTGTCTAACATTGGGTGATTTGGACAAATATTAAATCCACAGGCCACATGTAATCTGCCTTGAAGAGGGTCACACAGCTATCAAGAAAAGAAAGACCACCCATTGTGCACTCCACAAAATATATTCAAATGCTAACTACTCATTTTACATACCCATGCTTAGGTTACCACAAAAAACATAATCGACATAATGACAGCGTGCAATTTTCCCATGAGTGTCCCACAAATGTAAGCACGCGCAACACACACACACGTGCAGCTCCAAGGCCATGTCCATTCGGAATACGCTAGTGGGGTTCCGTCCCCACTTGCAGGATAAGAATGCACCCCCACCCCTCTCCTGCTTCCTTTGGGGTCCGTCTCCCAGCCTGCAGTTGGCCCATCAAGCCGGTCCGTTTTCAGCGTGGAGATCATGGCACTCCAAAGGAAGCTCATCACTCTGCAGATGCAAAGTTGGGAGGTCCCGTTCCTCTGCTGGCTCAGCCCGTGTAAGAGTCCTCTGTAGTATCTGCCCTTCTGCTCTCTTTAATTGGCTGCTTTCTATTCTAGCCCTGAGCCTTGGCACCTTCTTCAAAGGCTTGCTCTTGCCTCCACCAAACCCAAAGCCCAGCTATTCCCTCTACGGACTTGGTCTCTGAAGACGAACAGTCTTCTCCTCTCGGGGTGGTCCCACCCAACTTTTCAAAACCAATCTGCTACTCAGACAAGGTGCTGTTAGGGCAAGGTGTTTAGAAATTTCCCTTCCACTTCTTAGAGAATACTAGTACATAATTTGCCATGACTGAGAGGTCATTTTGACATTAAGAAAAAGGGTGGCTGGGGACACCTGTGAAAAAATACTGGTCAACTGACCCCTTTTGTCTGCAAACCTGAGGACGTTCCTGCTTCAACCTGATGAACAGAAGACCCACTGATGTGGAAACATGTGAGGAGTTTTCCCTCACAGATGTTGACGTCTCCATGTCCTCTCAATGTGGCTTGAAAGGCACACTCAGGTTTTGCTGGCTTATGGAGTCGGTCTCTCACACACACGGGCACCCTCTTCACGCACCTTGGAGCTTCAGGTTTTTATATAGAAATAAAGATACTTTAATAGTGTCACTGCTGCTTCTCATCTTTTGGAAGGGAATGCACTTGGGACCTTTCTCCCTGTACAGCTCTCCTGAGCACATGAGAGAACATTGCTTGCTCTCACATTCCTGCACAACATGCCTGCAAAGCCTCCTGGGTAAGCTACAGCGTCTTTCTTGGTACTTCGTACACTGCGATGGCCACCATTTCAATGCAGCAGTAGGCTTACACTAGGTGGTGTAAGTCACCTTAGTTTACAGACTATTTAAGGGGTTTGCTCACACAAAGCACTAACAACAACAACAAAATAAGAAGAAGGCAGAAACATCTGACTTATCCTCTCCTGGCTGCTATTTCAATCACTTTGCGTTGCCCAGGGAACCAAGGGCAGCGGGAGGGGTGGAGCAAGGCGGAACACTGAAGCTGGACTGCGAGGTGAGCAACCCCTCACCCAGCCCTTCAGGTCTCGTCCCCATGGTCTACCTCCATCACCTCGGGAGCACCTCAGGCCTCAGCTATTTGTCAACAGCTCCAAATTTGCGCTGCTCACCTGAGCAGGGAGGAATGGCAGCGACACTGCCTGTGCTAACTATAATTTCTAAAGCTGACAAGTTCACTCAGAACCAGCAGCGTCTTCCGTCAGCGCTGACCGAGAAAGCCACGTGGCAAAATCTGGGCAGCGCTAGTGTGTACAGATGTGGCCCAGGAGAAACATTCTAGGACAAAGGGAGCACATGTTTGCTCAGACCCAAAGGATGAGCTTGAAAGCCAAGACAGCCCAGGGAAGAGGAGGGAGGTGACAGAGGAAGGTGGCTGTTTTGCATGATTTGACCAAGGCAGGCTGAACAGCAGAAGAGCAAGATGCTGGTGACAGCGACCAGCAGCCTTGCAGACACAGACACTGGATTCTTTCTTATCCCCTTGAGCGGAGCACTTTCTAGAAAGAACTAGGTTCAGAACTCGCTCTGTATTTCAGCCTTTGCACTGTGTTGAGGAAGCATGACTCTGAAAACACACCCAGCTGCAAACAATCAGAAGCCACGCCTCACAACCGGCATAGAAGGCAGGTGACCATCCTTACCGGGAGATGGTTAAGGGGCACGTCCACCTGTCCCAGGAAGTCGTCTCGTGTCTGTTGAGAAGAAAGCGAAGAGTTAATGTTCCCGTCGATTTCATGGAGTGTCGGCATTCTTAAAAACGTTTCTTTACAAACAAAGGCAGAGGTCCAGGGCCTGACGCTGGGGTGCTGTGGGGACAGGTCAAGGCAGACGGTCCAGGTGAGGCGCGCACAGCTGTTGCCTTGGAGACAGAGGAACCCCAGGCCTCACACACCTGACCTTTAGCTGCCCGAGACTTTGTTGGGCATCCACCCCCCAAGAGAATGGTAACCGGTCATCTGATGGACCTGGAGAGCATATGGTTGTCAAGGAAGGGACAAGGGTTCTGGGGGCCTGGGGTGACCCAGGGCTCGGGGGCACAGCTGAACCAATCTAAAGAGAAGAAAGTACAGGGGGAACATTTTATTGATAACAAACACAGGGTGAGGCAATTTACAGTTGCTGCTCATATGGAAATAATACCATAATTAGTGACTAACAATACAAGAATAAACCCAGGCTTTTGCGCACTCACAACTGTAAGCCTACTTTTGCCCCGCCCTGTATTTATTGATCAAGTGCTAGGGATTAAAAAGCTCCCTGAGAGTCTAGGGAAAGGGTATAGAGTCTAGTTATCAATAAATCTTATAAAGTACTTATAAAAATGGCCTTGAACTTTCAATCTGATAAGTACGCTGCTTCAGAACCCAAGTCCATGGCTTAGTTACTAGTTCAATTTTGGACACACCATGCTTCTTCTTCTCCCTGCATCTACTACACGGTGTAAACCTTTCTGACTCAAATTGACCTTGCTGAAATTCATCTGAAGATGCTCTCCTGAGCACCCCTGCAGACTCTGGGAGTCACCTGGGAAGTCACAGGTCAGATTCTGGGGGCCTGGCAGGCTGTGCGTACACTGTGTCCTGCTGGTGGAGTTGCCCATGTCATGGCCCCTGAGCTTCACGTGGCCCACGGTGCAGATTGGAACCCAGCACTTCTGTGGCCCTCGGAAAAGAACAGGCAGGGGTGCCCGCCACAGGCAGAAATGCCCAGAATCTGGCAAGTTCTTCAGCTGTGATCAGACCAGTCCTCCAGCCGGCTGCGGGAAAAGCCCGACGGAGAGTCCAGAGCTCCTGACTTAGTGCGGGCTCGTATTTCCCCTCTTCACTGGTTCAGTGTGAAATTTCCTCACTGACAGAAACCGCTCAAATGTACTGGGAAAATGTCTCTTCTTGTATTAAAAAGCAGCAGCAGGTAAATACGAATGAGATTTATTTAGTGACATGATTTGCTCCAGGATTAGGATTTCCTTTTAGGTAATTTAAAAAATGTGATTAACTAGAAAGCCTTCCATCTCCTTTAAACTATGCGTGAAGAACAGTGAAAAACCGAAGTTCCTCCCAGTGGGGTGTGCAGAAGCAAGAGACAAGCCCAGTCCTTGTGACCAGGGGCTCATTTCTTCTCTCAGCTACAGCTGCTGTGACCCACCACGGAGACACCTCGTCTGGCCCCAGGCTACAAGGTGCCGATAAATGCTGTATATCGTCACAAAAGGAGCAGTGAGCAAAAGGCTCAGCAAACAGAGCTGCCTGCTCTGTCCAAGCGGTTAGGGAGACCGCTCATTCCCAGTTGTGCTGATTTAGTTCTCCTTACAGAGTGAGAGTAAGTATCAGTTACCTCTACAACAAAACAAATTTGAAAACCAGAAGTCTGTTGACTACTGACCATAAATTCCGTGTCTACCTCCTTGCCACCTGTCTCCCCCTGCCCTGCCCGCTACTGGTGCCGACGCTGTGGAAGGAAAGGACACTGGGTGAAGCCATCAGAAGATGACCAAACACCCTTCTGGAAGCTCCACCCATCACCTGATAGCATTAAAAGGCTACTTGTTCACCATTAACCTCAGGGCACTGAAACAAAATTCACATAATGTCTACACACCCACATGGTTTTTCTGGGGAGATGTCAGAGCTCTAACCTGATCATACAAATTCAGCTTTGCTCAGACACCAGAAGACAGGCACCTGCCACCACGGGCTGCAGTGGCGAAGCAGGTGCAAGGCCACACCTGGTCTCCACAGTAACTGGAGCACGTAGGCACTATCATTAGGACTGCTGTCCAGGTGGGGAGCCCGGTACCCAGGAGGGGTGTGACCTGTCTCATTTCTTCTCTGGGTTCCAGAGTTTGGGCTACTCATGAAGTGACGTGCTACCCTTGTCTCAGTACCAGGCAGGACACCGAGGCTGGGCACCGGCTCTGGGCTCCTCATTGGGACGGTGGCTCTACACGGGTGTGGATGAGAATTAAGCAGGGGGAGTCCTGGGAAAATGCCCACGTGCCGGGTCCTCGTTAGCACTGCCTCCTGTTTAGACTCCGCTCCTTTCCACCAGTGAAAGAGGCAGCAACACCCCAGAGGCACTGACCCAGGAGCTTCACTGGTACCTGGTACCTGCACAAGCCCTCTCATTACAATGAAATAATCATTTATCTTTAAAGCAGCCGAAGATGGAGCAACCTCGCCATTAATGTAAACACAAGGCTCTCCTGTCTGTTTTACACCAAGGACACTGGAAAAAAAAAGATTTTTTTAAGTAAAACAGGGATCCGGTCTAGAATGGAACATGGTCCAAAGGAACTGGCTGGAACAAGTGTTTCATCAGGCAGGGGACACATGAGAACTGGGTTTCAAAACACCCCACTGCTGCCCAAACCAAAGACATTGTAGGTAATGAAAAATCCGTTGGTTAATGACGCTGCACCAGCGCTAAAACATGTCTTCAATGCCATGGGAGAGTCGAGTAGGAGGTCAGGGAGGCTACTCAAGACCTTTATCCAAACTGAGAAGCAGGTGTGTCTCAGGGACACCTGGGTCTGATGGTGACGAGCCAGGGACAGTGTGCTGGTGTGCTAGGGTCCCCACCTGCAGGTCCTGGGGAGACGTCTGAGGCCACGACAGTATTCTCAGGTCATCGTGCCACAGAATGACATCTCACGGCAATGCAACAAAGCTAACCAAGTCAATTTTTAATAACTTCCATTACAAAATTATTTCCACCAAGCTTCGTGCTAACTGTGAGAGATCACAGAATCCCAGTGGGTCTCCACACATACCATGAACACTGGCATTTCTCGTGCTCATTTTTGAGCAGTAAGTGCTCTCAAAGTCCACCTCAATTACCTGTCATGCTATTCTAGAGGCTGAAAATGTACAGGTTAGTACCGGTTATAAACGTTCCTTTCTGATGAGCCGTCAAATATTTTTCCAATGTCATGACAATGCAGAAGAGAGCCCCTGAAATGTGTCATAGAAGGTTAAAAAATCTATATTCCATTACAGGAAAAGTGAAATTAATATACCAGACACTGTCTCCTTCAGAGCTTGCTCTCTAAATGATGATTAACTATATTTTGGACTGTTCCTCCTGGCCTTTAAAATACCTCTTCCCTTTTGAAAAAGAAAGCCGTGGAGGAACACTGCTCCGTGGGTGAGTGCCATTGGACCCCAGTGCTGGTGACTGTTCTGATGGCGGCAACGAACCCTGGTATGGCCCTGGGACACTTCCCGAGGCTTCCTGTGTGCACGCTGGGCAGAGTTGCCAGCACCGAGTGGACGCCATGCTTAGCTGTCCTCGAAAAGTGAAAGAGACTCGATTTTGCAAAGAACACATTAAAAAACAATGAAGACTTTTGGTTTTCAGGTCAGGAAGCCCTTGAAGGATGTGCTGAGAATCTCACCACACACTGATGAGCACAGAGGTCATGGGCAAATGAGGTGAGGCCGGCTGGTCCCATGGACGCTGAAAGACAGCACAGGGACCAGGTGGGGGGAAGCACTGGAGGCAGGTAGGGGTGCTCGGGGGAAAGCAGGGGCCAGAAAGGCTCATTAGGAAAGGTTATCAGACAGAAGTGGCACTTCTTGCCAGGTGCAACAACCCCCACGTAATCCTAGAGCTTTATATTAAGACAGTGTTTAAACTGCGAGTGGCAACTCCACTAGCAGTTCACAAGAAGCATTTAAAAAAAAGTTTCTCATCCAGGGACATTTCTCCAATGCTTTTAAAGAGCAAGGAAGGTGGGGGTGGGGAGAGAGAGAGACATCGACTAGCTGCCTTCTCATACGCACCCCGACCAGGGACGGAACCTGTAACCTGGGTACGTGCCCTGACCATGAATCGAACCCATGACTTTCGGTCTATGGGACGATGTTCCACACCAGCCAGGGCACGAGAAGCATTTTGAAAAGTCAGTATAACAGGGCAGAAATATTAGCATCTCACGTGAGATGTTGACAAGTACTGTTTTGAGAAACTTATTTCAGTTACATACATATACGAATGTGTGTACCAAGTTGTTTTCCAAAATTATTTTTTGTGGGTGATGCCACCAAAAGATTAAAAGGCACTCAACTGCAGCAAAGGGAAACCAGCCAGTGCTACCAGTTGCCTGGGGTTTTATCCTAGAAATCATTATGGAGGGACTTCCAAGAAAGTTATATTTAGAACTGTATATCTCAGGCCTGGAGGAACCAGGACATAAGCTACAGAAAAAGAATTTAAGAGTAAAGCTATAGTATGATTTGGTGTTTGTATCTTACAAATCGAGGGAAACGTCACAACACGAAGCCAGAAAAATAACCGGGGCTCATCACTGGACCAGTGAATGTGGCCCCGTGTGCTACGCTCCCTCCCGAAGTGTGTGGCCCCACACGTGGCCACCGGAACTGATTAGCCCAGGGAAATGGGCCCTATTTTGGGGGGCTCAGAAGCATGCTCTTAGGATTATCTGGCTAACAGGATGCCCATAGACCGACTGTGCTTCACGATGTCAGACCCTAAAGGTGCTGAGACCGGGTACCCTCATCGCCTGGGGAGAGACGCTAACCAGTCCCTGTGCAGCAGGAATACAACATGAGCCACATAGAGAATTTGAAAACTGCTAAGCCACATGTAAAAAGTAAAAATCAAACAGGTGAAATTAATTCTAATGATATATTCTAGTTGACCCGGTATATCTAAAATATCATTCTTTCAATGT